TGCCGCGACCACAAGCTTAAAGGACGCGACCTGGGCTTGGCTTTCTTCACTCCAACGCTGCCCTCTGGACAGTTTGATCCCTTCACCTGATGAAGGCCACTTATGTTGTGGCCGAAACGTCGTGATTATTTTTTTAATTTTTTTACCTACGTGACTTTACCGAATAGAACCAAAGAGTATAGATCCTTGCAGTCACGAAAGCTTCAAATCCAGTTACTCCAAGTTTACTCAGCACTGAATCTATCTGGAATGTTCTGGAAAATAGGTAAATTTCAAAATATAACTGTCCTGGTCACAAAAGCAAAGTTTGTGGGGAATAATATCCATTTTCTGTACTTTTGAGGCGTAAGCAATTAGGAAATGACACTTACTACTCAGGAACAAAAAATAAATAAAAAATTGTTACACAGTGATTTATCACTACAACTTTTATTTTCGGGCAACGTTCTTGATTAATCTGAATTTAGCGATCTGAGGACTTGCTCCGTTATGAGTGCCGTGTAGGTCTACACTTGTCCCAATAGCCCTTATGGAGGCTGCACGGGGGGGGGGGGGATGTTTGTCTTTGTACGTGTGGCGAGTTGTGGAGAGGGTGGTTCATGCACTGCACTATAAACTTGGCCACCTCAGATCGATTTCCGGCCGCGGCTAACATCAGTGGCGAGCGACCATCAGAATCGTTCCTGCTGCTTCCTCTTTAAGTCCACTCGGCCTAACCTCAGTACCCCGGTGCACACGAGTAACTGGTGCGGTGTGTATAAACGTCGCCACTGGGGAGACAAAGGCGGTCGGACGTGGTGCTGGCCACCCAACCCTCGTGTACCGAGCCGGCCGGCCGTCAGAGGTGATACTCGCTAAGAGCAACAGCACTTGCCCCAAACAGACCACGATTGCAACGGTGCTCGCGGGCCTGGCGCGATGGTTGGGCATCCGTCATGCTGCCTGAGCACAAAAGGTCACCGCGGGTGGACGCAGCAGCCATGTCGCCATCTCCCCCGTGGCCCTCCACCAGCAGCGAGAGTTGTCTCTCCCCCCCACCACACCTCTCCTCCTCCTTGCGACTGTGCGAGTGACACCCGCGGTTAATGACGATGCCCTCACCAGCGAGGAGACGTTCTGTCGTTTGGAGACACAGTATTCCCAATTTAAGACGACACCGACACCTCCTCTCGAAGGCCGTTCCCCAACGCTTATTAAAAAAAGCAATAACAGCAGAGGTAAAGGTGCAGACCTGCAATTGCTTGGTCACCACCACCACCACCACTGCTGGTCGAAGGGCCTCTACATGCAGGAGCTCTCCAGAGCCCCACAGGAGGCTGTGTTGAGACCCACTCTTCGAATAGAGTCGGTCGATTAACTGTAGTGGAACCCATTTTCACAACTCGGTGGACAAAGCCAGCAGGGAGGATTTCAGAAACCTGCTCCATTGTTACAACTGCCGCGCCTGGAGATGGAATCGAACCTGCTGGATCGCAGGTGCGAATTTGTTCGAACCGTTATGGCGCAGCAGCGTCCTTTCCTCGAAAATTAGTGGCAAAAATATTCGAATTTGTATTTGTTAGTTAACGTTTTGCTTTAGGTCAACACTGAAGCGCCAACTTTGTACAATGTGGTGCTTCTCCCCGGTGTTTGACTTTCGCTCGCCGCTAGATGTGACTGTTGGGAGCGTAGGGCCAGAAACCACAGGGATCGATCCCATAGGCCCTGTGGCCAAGTTGCATTTCGCACGTGCGGCCCACATTGTCACTCGACTTCTGATTGAGGGCCCTCTAAACCCAGCGGGCTAAACCATTACACCACGGCAGCATCCCTAATAAAACAAAAAAATAATCGACGACGTTTCGGTATAGGTCCTTCTTCAGAGCAGATATATCACGTGTTAATAGCACTGCCTTAAAATTATATATAAGAAATTTGTTCAACTTTTGTATCATTTACGCTTGGGCACCACTGCCAACGCATAATCACTTTTGACCAGCACCCAAAAAAGCGCTTCCTTCACGGGCCGTGCAGTGACTGGGATCTGTCTCGCGCGCTTAGCCTATCAATAAGTCCTAGACTGCTCCCTTGTTTGTGCGCGCTCGTTCACTACACACACACATACGCGCGCGCGTGTGTGTGCGTGTCGCCCGCTATATTTACCACGGCACTTTGGCCCCCGTGGTTTTGATTTCATAAAAATAACCGCGCTCCGATGGAGCACTGGGTGGGGGGGGGGGGAAGGAGGCCTTGGCTGGCGTGAGCGGCCCGCGCGTGCCTCGCCCGCCGTCTCTCGCCTCTTCCATGAGACGCTGGAGCGAGGGGCCTCGCGCTGCGCCGGCCGAGTCGTCCGCCCTCCCTCTCTGTCTCTCTCGCGTGCATCGCACGGACTGCACGAGCGATGGAGCGGCAGGTCCGAGAAACGAACTTTGAAGAAGCAGTAGAAAAAAAACCCCGCCACTGGTACTAAGTATCGTCCCAACATTTTTATTTTTAACTTGATTTTAATTATTTTTAACGGGGAGGTGGAGCCTTCAGCCCCCAATCCCCATCCCCCATCCGACGCTTCGGGGCAGGCGACCCGTGGAGTTCTGAAACTCGCTTTGTTCCACGACCGTGACCATTAACCTCGTTGAGACGGCCCTGGTGTTTACTCTTCCTCGAAGATGGTTAGCGGCTGATAAAACCGAACAACCTCTGCCCCCCCCCATCCCCCCACTCCTCCCCCCACACCCTCCCCCCACACCGGCCATCTATTGCCGTTCACGACTGGCTCCTTACCCCTGTTCAAGTCCAGGGGTCGCTGCACAACGTACCAGTTCGGCCTGAGTTCGACCATCAGCGGTGAGTGATACCGCCAGCGACCCTCGCTTCGCCCATCGTCCTCAGCTGTCGAGGGTTCGCACCCCCCCCCCCCCCCCCCCCCCCCGGCAGGACGTGAGATCCGGCTGCGGTGCGGGCGGCCAGGACCTCGGGTCGCACGGTACGCGAGAGCCGTCCGCCACCCGTGGACACAGAGTAATTCAAGCACGGAGCCCCCAGCGGAGCGTCGCGCGCCCTTGCCGTGGCTGCTGTCCAGCTCAGAGTGGTGGGCGGATTTGAAGGAGGACTTGGACACCCTCCGTGCAAACTGCTCGCCAGGCCAAACACGCACACACACGCAAAGATACGCACACAGACACAAGACAAAGATCCCCCCTAGAGCCTGAACAGACTTTTGGGGCAAGTGCTTTTAGCGAGCACCTAATTCCAGGGGGGTGAATTGCCAGCGCCACGCCCGGCCGCCTTTGTCTTCCCATTAGCGATGTTTACGCAACGCCCCAGACACTCATTTGAGGCAGAGTCGACCTACACACACACACGTAGACACACGTCTCTCGCAAGCAAACAAATCAGCCATCGAGGGAGAAACGAAAATAAAGCCCCCGTGGGCGAGGGAAGGGGGTGTTGTTGGGTGAGGCTATAGGTGGGTCGGATTTAGTGGTCCTCCCCCCTCAACCCCCCCCCCCCCCGTCTCTCCCGACCGCATCCCCGTGTGCGTGCTCGCGATTTCTCGTACGCAGACGCCGCCTTCCCCTCGCTCAAGCCGGCGACACGCGTGGCTTAAACGCAGCCCTGTGAAAGCACCGTCATCACTGTGTCTGTGCAGGGATAGCAGAGCACAGGAGGGGTCATTCATGTGAGCAAGTGTGTGTGGGTCCGTGTGGGGGAGCAGTAGTGTAGCGGTTGGCGTGCTGCGTTGTGGAACAAGCGACGCGAGTTCTATTCCCGCTCACGGCCAACACCAGCGACGATTATTTTAACCGGTCCTGGGGCCCTTCGCGAGGTCGACTCAGCCTCAAATGAGTACCTGGTGCGGTGTGTAGTAAACATCGCCACTGGGGAGACTAAGGCGGTCGGGCGTGGTGCTGGCCACCCACTCCCTCGTGTACCGTTCCGGCCTTCATAGGTGCTCGCTGACAGCACTTGCCACAACAGTCTGTTACAGACTATACGGGTGTTCTTTGTCTTTTCTGTGCGGGGACTGGTGGCGCAGCGGTTAGCGCACTGCGCTCACGAACCTGACCAGCCGAGTTCGATTCCCAGCTCACGGCCAACATCGGCGACGGACACTGTGAACCCGTCCTGCGGCTCCCTTAGGTCGACTCGGACTAAAATGAGTAGCTGGGTTGCGATGTGTAAACGTCGGCATTGGGGAGACAAAGGCGGTCAGGTGTGGTGCTGGCAACACGTCGTGTGGTGTTTCGTACCGGCCTTCATAGGTGCTCACTCACAGCATTTTCCTCAACAGTCTGTCCAGGCTATACAGGGGATCTTTATCTCTGTAAAAAAAAGATCTCCCGTATAGCCTGAACAGGCTGTTGGGGCAAGTGCTGATAGCGAACACCTATGAAGACCGGGAACGATACACGAGGGGTGGGTGGCCAGCACCAAGCCCGACCGCCTTTGTCTCCCTAGTGGCGATGTCTACACACCGCACCGGGTACTCATTTGAGGCCGAGTCTACGTTGGGGTAGGCCCAGGAGCCCTTCAGATAATCGCCACTGATGTTGATGGCCATGAGCAGGAATCGAACTCGGGTCGTCGGGTTCGTAGCGCAGCGCGCTAACCGCTACACTACCGCTCCCCACGCACACACACGAGAGTGTAATGACGCAGATAACATACGCCGTATAGGTCTTCATCAGGATGCATTGACCAGCGTGCTGAAGTATGATCACGCGACCGTCACCTTCGTCCAAATCGAATCATTTACACCGTGCGCGTGAGTGTGTGTAGGTATGGGAGGAAACCCATGGAGGACCGGGGGAGAGCGTAGGAACTGTCAGCGAGAGCCCCCCGTGAAGGCAGAAGCACTGCACACAGAAGGGCGCCCGAGTGGGGAATCGAACCGAGGCCCCTCTTGCTGTGCGGCGTGGGTGTCACCACTGCGCCGCCGCCGCCGCCCTGGCCGGTTTCGCGAACAACAACCAGGGAGATGATCACCACCGGGCCCGACATCGCCCATCGAGTCGAAAACGTTCGAATCAAACAGCGTTTTATTTTAATTCAGAACTCCACAATTCAGGTCTCCTTCCACCGGTCGCGATCAATTTCGACGACAAAACGTGTCAACCAGAAAATGAAACTCAACCCCTGTCGGCCGAGTCCAGGCAACCGAAGAAAAAAAAAACAACGAAGAACAAACCCAAAAATAAAATAAAAAAAACATAAATTGACTTGCGCGATCGTATAGACATCTCTGTTTATATCTGTACAGACAAAAGACCTCTGTTATAAATTACAATCTGATAATTTACTGCCGGTAACTAGAAGAGGTGGGTGGGTACTTTTTTTTAAACGATTATTTACAAAGATGCCTCGCACAACAACGTCAAGCCGTGCGAGCGTACAAACTTTTAACGACAATGCCATCGACATCCTTGGTTTCTCCCTCGCTCTGTCGGGTTCGTGATGGACAGGGTTCGTGATGGACAGGGTTCGTGATGGACAGGGTTCGTGATGGACAGGGTTCGTGATGGACAGGGTTCGTGATGGACAGGGTTCGTGATGGACAGGGTTCGTGATGGACAGGGTTCGTGATGGACAGGGTTCGTGGTGGACAGGGTTCGTGATGGACAGGGTTCGTGATGGACAGGGTTCGTGGTGGACAGGGTTCGTGATGGACAGGGTTCGTGGTGGACAGGGTTCGTGATGGACAGGGTTCGTGATGGACAGGGTTCGTGATGGACAGGGTTCGTGATGGACAGCGATCGCGCACCGTTTTCCAAAACGATGGCGACGCGGAGCCCGGCCCGGTCGCGTGCCGCGGCTCGGCCTCGTCTTGCGAGAGATCCTCGGCGCATCTGCCGAACGTCTGCCCAACGTTACCAAACCTACAAACTCGTCGCACTGTACAGCTCCGGAGGGGTGACGTTTTAGATTTCCCCGTGAAAAATTGTCTCTTTAAAACAAACAAAAATAGCAAATGCCGCCGTGGTGGTGACGTGAACTGGAAGAGAGGGCTTGATTTTATTTCTCGACTGTAAGCGGAACTCCATTCCTGTGCTTCCACGTACAGACTAAAATATCTGTAGTCCATCGGCCTTTTGGGGCTTTCCAGACCAATATTATCCAACAGAATTTGTTTGAACAAGAAAACTCTGGAACGGTTTCCGCTTGTTTATATATATATAAAAAGAACGCTGTTGGGTTGTGTTATTGGAAGAAAAACAACACACTCCATCTCTGAATTCTCTCCGGGTCGCTGGGAGACCGGCGCAGGTGGCGCGCGAGCCGTAGGAGCAAGTCACCACAGCCGTAGCGGGAGCTATACTGGACGTGGTGTACCGCGCACGGAGAGATATTCTCCCTAGTCACCAACCCAGACCGACAGATCTCCCCCCCCCCCCCCGGCTGAAATCGAGCCACGGATTACAAAACGTATCGGAGCGAGCGAACGACAAGTCTGAGAAAGTACGCCGGCTCGGCGCTTCTCCACCGCGTGGGCCGCCGCACCCGCGCGCTCGGCGAGGGCGCTCTTCGTCGGCGCCAGCGGGAGGAGGATACGAGACGACGCAGGCGCTCGCCCGTTGAGGTAGATATCGGCCATCCCTCGTGGCGACGCTCGTGAGAGCAGGGACTGGAAGACCCCCGCACGCACGCCGGCCGTGCCGTGCGTCGAGCGGTCGGCGTGGCTATCGAGCACGCGGGCTGCGGCGGTTGCACCGTGGGGGGGGGGGGGGGGGCTCGTGCCAACCACCCGCGTGCTACACCGACGTCCCCCACCCCCCCCCCGCCTCACGCGTCCCTTGGTTGGCACCGCGCAGCGTCGTGCCAGGCGTATTCGGAGCGAACGTTCCCCACGCACATTGCTCCGCAGTTCAGCTTTACGTGTTGGAGGAAGGAGGCATGATCGACGATAGAAACAAACAATAGAGACAATCGGCGCTTATTGAGGCGGTGGATGGCTTCAGACGCGTGGCCCGGGTCGTCCCGACAAGAGCCTGAATGATTCGTTAACGACGGGTGTAGCCAGCTGGCGGTTCTCAGCCCCGTCACCAATGACTTTTCCACGCAAACAATCGCTTTAAATTGGATTTGCAATTCATTGAAACGAAATTCCTGCTCTAAGAATTAATTTCCATTTAGCGCCAGCAAACGTCAATCAAATGCTGCGGAATCCCTTTAAAAGTATTGGTCGACGCCAACTGTGATTTTGTCACTCGTGATGAATCGTAATCTCGGCGTTTTTATCCGCGGAGTTTCTCATAATTACGCTGCCGGCTGTCGTAGAATTCTCACCGACTTGCTTCACACTCAAGGGGCAGGAACCACAGCCCAGACGGACGTGGACAAAACAAAAAGTGTTTGCCTGATCGCGCCGCGTCTTCCTTCCAACCAGCCACATCAGCCGCATCGGCCACGCGCGCGAGAAAAAAACGACGATGACGACGACGCCGACGACGCCGAACGCTTACACAAAAACAACGGAGTAAAATATGAGAACAAAATGGTCCTGCCACAGATGTAAAAAGATTAAAGTGTTAACAGTTTTGTAGTTCTGAAGCCTTGCCCCCCACCCCACGCCCGCCCCCCCCCCCCCCGCCTTAAAGTTGGCGTCCGCGCGTCCGCAGAAGCGCGCCGTCTTTGGTAGTGTCGTAGAGCCCCACGTGGCTGCGTGTCGCCCGCGGCGGCGGCGGTGGTGGTGGCGGTGTAATGCTGACTAAGTGCTTTAGACTCTGTGTTTGGCTGCGGCGCCTCCGCGCTTCTTCACCAGAGGTTGCCCCCCCTCCCCCCCCCCCCCCACCTGCTATCTTAATACGAGCGACGTCAACACAAACACAAAAAAAAACTGAAAGATAAACTTAACCAACCTCTTATCGCTTAATCTGACGGAAGATGTTTTTTTTATTTTTTTGTTTGATGTAGAAAAATTACTGCACTCCAGAAAATAATGTGTGAATCTTGAAAAGTCATTCTTAAAAAAAAAATTATATAGAATATTCTTTAAAAGAAAAATGTGTTGAAATCAATCATCTGGTAAAATTTTCTGAGAATTAATAAAACAAACTTGTTCTCTTCATTCTATTTGCAAGCCTTAACAAGCTACCTATAATTCCTAAAGCACGATCTACATTATTTGAAGGAAAAAAAGCGAAGAAAACTAAAAACATCTACGCAGAGAACAAAAAAAATGAATGAAACTTAACGAATCAACGCGAATGCGTAAAACTTAACTCCTAAAAAAGACTTAAAAACGCACGGGGCTCGTACGTGCGCGAGCGATCACGAACGCAAACTCAAGCGAGGGAAGCGTGGCTTTGTCTCCGTGCGCGCGCCCAGGGAGATTGTTACCCGACTCGATCCCAAAAAAGCTAAACAAACCCACGTGGAACGTCACCCCCCCCCCCCCCCCACTTCCCCACCCCCTCACTCAGCCAATTAAAACGACCGGAGAAGCGACATCTTTTAGTCGACAACACAAATGAAGAAAAAATGTGAGCGAGCGAAAAAAAATCTCTCTCGCGCGTGACTAAAGGTAAAAAGCACGCGTCTATTTACACGCCGCTCCCTTTGCTGGAGGTTCGTCACGACAGACGTGGGGGGGTTGCTGGATGGCCGCTCCTTGAATCTCGGTCACTCGCAGCAGCAGGAGGAGTCTTCGCGTAAAGCACCGTGGTGGCGACATCTTAGGTAGCGTAGCAATTGCTCGGGATGATCACCGTGGAACAAAAAATAAAATAAATAAAATATATTTTTTTTTGGGGGGGGGGGGGCGGGCAGAGGAAATATAGTCCCCGCAGGCTCGGCGACGATGTCGGTCCGCGCGAAGGAAGGCGCTTGTGTGTAGACGCTCGGCGGCGGGGCGCTCCGCTTATCCGTTAAGACTCTCGCGTGTGAGTGCGTGCGTGTGTACGTGCGTGCATGTGTGTGTACGTAGGTCAACTGGGCCTCAAGCGAGTACCTCGTTTGGTGTTTAAAAGATCAGCACTGGGGAGACAGACGCATCCGAGCGTGGTGTTGGCCCACCCACGGCTTCGTGCGCCGTGCCGGCCTTCATAGGTGCTACTCGCTAACAGCACTTGCCCCAAGTCTGTCCAGGCTATACGCGGGATCTTTGTGTATGCATGCATGCGTGTGTGTGCGCGTGTTAAAGCTGCCCTGCAGGGCTGGTGCCTGCCCCCCCCGAACGGGAGCCGTGCTTCAGAGCCAAGGCACTTTGCTTCACATTCCCCAACTGCACAACACCGGGTTGCTCCACTGTGGGCCAACCTGGGTGTTTGGGAGGAGGAGGAGCAGGGATCGGGGCAGGCAAAGGACAACAACAACCACAGCGTTAGAGCGCCATCATCATAAGTACATTTTGGTATTTGCGCTTATTATTTCATTTTTATTTCCACCTGTTTCACTGTGATTTTCTTTTGTATGGCGTAGTTGCAATGTGGTGTGGAGCGGCTGCGATGGGAATCGTGGCGGTGGGGATGGTGGTGGTAGGGATGGTGGTGGTTCGGTAAGGATGGTGGTATGGATGATGGTGGCAGTGAGAATGATGGTGGTGTTGAGGATGGTAGCGGCGCTACCTTGCTTGCGCAGCAGGCTCGCCTTGCCAACCGCTACTTGGCTTGCTGGAACGCGTACTGCGGGTGGTCGCCACCGTCCATGGACACCTGCTGCTGCTGGCCGCTAGAATCCTGGGGGCACGGCGAGCGGGGCAAGCGAAGACGCGTGACGCTTCCGTGAAAAATACCGCCGCAGCCAATCGGAAATGGTTTTGGGGGAACAAGGTGGTGCAGACGACACGCAAATAGAACGTTCTTCATTGTGTCCCTCGAGCACTATTTGACTCGTCCATCGGCTATTATCGACCAATCGGCGCGTCTTTACGCGGCGAGCGAACGGCGCGGTGCTCGCATAGCGGTGGGTGTAAATATTCGCGGGGGAGGCTCAACCAAACGTTTTATTTACACGACTTTTACAAAAATCAACGTTCAAAAACAAGAGAGCGGCGCAAGGCTGCCTCTGGCAGGGCGTGCAGGAGACCCACGCCTCCAGGGACACGGGGGGGGGGGGGTCAACAGCTGCGCCGTCGCCGCTGTGGCCTTGCGCTCTCTCCGGCCGAGTCCGGCTCCGAGGAGGGGATCGTGCTGGGTGCGCCGTGTGCGAACGACGCTCGCGCTGGACATTCACAGCAGGCTGGGGCCCCGTGAGGCCCCGCCGGGCCCCGGTCCCACCTACGGTGGCGTTAGTTCCCCTGGTACTCACCTCCACTGGCATGGAGGATGCGGACATGTGCGCGTACTGGTGAGGGATGTAGGTCCCCTGCATGTGTGAGCTCGCGGTCATGTACTGCGGACGAGAAACAACGTCGCGCTCCGGTTAGTTTTCGGCATCTCGGTTTTCGCCGCCTTTTTAACGACGTCGTGGGCAGCCCTTTGCAGTCCGCCGCTGGACGAAGCCCCACGTGCGCCGACGTCCGCGTATCGGCGGAAACTTCCCTGGCTTCCCTCGGAAAAAGGTGAAAATAATACATCACGCTTGGTGAACGCAACGACCGCGTTTGCTGGTCAATTGCTTCGGTTGAAAGCCAATTCCGAAAGAGGCGCCGGCACTCTGGTGGTCCGGGATCGATCTTGGTTCTCGTCAGGAGCTGTGCGCCACGCCGGTCCGCTCGGCCGAGGCGGCGCAGCACGGGAACGAAGCGCACGCGCGAGGGATGCGAACCCCGAGGTGCGATGGTTTTCTAATTGAGCTCATCGCGTGCGTTAGAAGCGCCTCCTTGTTGATCTCTTGTAGGGCGCAGCGACGGGACAGTGCAGAGGCTTCGGCTACGGTGAAGTCGGCCGCTCTGGCGACTTCTCGAGCCAAGTTCCTCTGGATCCAGAACGACTGCAGCTGTCCAAGTATATATGCAGTAAACCTATTCCAAGGTGTCTATCCCTTGTGGGAGAGTACGCTAAAAATAACACCGATAGAACCAGCTGCTCTAGCGCTGCCTCTCGTTGGAGGCCCATCTGCCAGCAGTGGCGATCGCAAGCAGTTGCAGGGAGGCACCTACACCTTTTACTGTAAATACATGAACATTTTTAACTCGCAGCGTTTTGTCAATCCACCGCTGGATGGCGGCCACCCCGTGCAGTCTAGTTCATGAGGGTCGTTTGACTATATAACGGCACACGGGTCTGTGTAGGCTTGCGAAGGGGGTAGGCCCCAGGATTGGTTCAGCTGTCGTTCGCCACCGATGTTAGCCATGGCCCAGGAACTGAACTGAGGTCTCCCGGCTCATGGCACCGTGCGTTATCGCTGAGCCACCGCTCCGCCCAGCTCTGGTCAGTTATCTCGGGATATCTCAGCTTCGTTATCCGAGGGAGCGAATATCCACCCACGCGGCCAAGAGCGCTTGATTCTCCATTGGGACGGCGTGAGTTCGAATCTTGGTCAAAGGTCAAACTCGGCAAATAATCCCTCCGGGGCTGATAACTGACAACCCCCCCCCAAAAAAAAAACCCATCCCAATGGAGCAGGAGCCTCCTACGAACGAATGAGTCCTGAGACTCGGCGAGCATTTCCTGCGTCACCAAAATGCGTCAAGTCCATCCGTGCGCGAAGTCGTTTTCTCTCTGCGCTTCACGTTAAACCGCCTGCAACACCTCCCCCACTCCGTTGTACTTGAGACCGCACTTGCCGCTTCTGCGACGGCGGATAACATTTCTCGTGCTGTCACGCGTTGGCCGCTAGGGGTCTCCCGTACCACGCTGGCAAAGGTTGGGAGGCGCGTTGGGTGGCGAGGCGGACTGGGCTCTAAAGAGCGCCAGGTGGCAGTGCTGCGCTAATCGCTGCGTCTCCTCGCATGGACAACAACGCTCCTCGGTCTTGTTGATGGCACAGCGGTTGAGCCCTGGTGAGCTTCCTCCCAATACGCGAGGAATGTTTTTGCCCCCGTTATAATATTTTTTCCACGCGTTTAAAAAACATATGAAAAGGCGCCGAGGCAATACTTCCAATTTTGCTATCGGATTTGTTGCCATGAGATGGCGCGTCCGTTCGGATCTCTCGCACTTAACAGTGCATCATCACCCTGTGTACTGAGAGCGACCCGTGGATTGAGATATCACAGAACTGATTCCGAGTTTCTTTCAAGCGACTGCTTAGCCACACGACACCTGTCACGTGACACTCAAACCAACGTTTAAAACTTCAGAAGTGGAATTTTCCAGAATCGAGTGAATTTGGTTATTTTATTACTGAATGGGGTTTTTTTCTCATTGAATGACCAGGCTGAGACCATCAACTTGGCCACACTTAAGAGAACCCGCTGGGCGCACACGTAAATAGGCAATGTTTCAGGAAATGCAATATGAAGGGCCATTGCCCGAAACATTGTCACCTGTTAAATGTTTCCTTTTAAGGCCACGGGTGGCGTTGCTATTGCCGAACGTGCAGAACTTGGTGTTGTTGTTGTTGTTTGTGCACAGCTGTCATCGCAGCAGTGTCACCAAATTAACTTGTCAAAAGTTAAATTCTTTAATCGTTTCCGAAAGCAAAATTGGTTTCCGCAGCGGATGAAAGCGTGCAGCTTGCGTGGAAGATGACAGCCGTCGCAGGTTGACGGTGATGAATCTGTCACCACAATCCTTGCCGGTGGGGTCTTTCCCCGCACTTTGGCAGCAAGCGCTAGGTCCCTGCTAACTTCCATGAGCTTGCGACACGACTCGCATGAGCAGACGCACAAACACGTGGAGGGTGGGGTGGGGGATGGGGGCGACCGTGTCCCATTCTCGCGCGTACGCTGCCGCACAATTCTTCGTACGGGCGCCGTGTGCGGAGGGGGGGGGGGGGGTATTTCTGCGAGCGGATGAATCGCGGTTGGAAAGTTCCGAGTTTAAAATCCCGGCGAGCGGATGACTCAACGTAAGACGAGGACCGGGTTCTGGGAAGATGACGGCGGCCGTCGCGCGGATAGAACCGTGCCGCCCGTGGATTCGTGAGTCTACCCGTGCGGAGGTTGTGAGTGTGTCTTCCTCTCGGGGTTCTACGCTTGCTCGCTCGCGTGAAGCGAAACCCCCACGTAGCAAAAACCCCCCTGAGACTCTGTGGGGCTCGTTTACCATCATAATTTGCTTCCGATCAGGGCTTAATTTGAGCAGGGTCTGACTGCATCGCCTTCCCAGCACACCGCACCAAGTCTATCTCTCACCGCAGCTGTGGCAATTTGTCACGTGCCTGCTCCAGTCTGACCGGGCGTGTCGTAAACAAATATTTCCGTGAGAAAAGAAGCTCCAACTTGTCCAGCTGCTGCCGTCCCAACGACCGATTCTGGCAAGTCGCCCGACGCACCGTCGCACGCGTCAATCCACCGGCGCAACAGCGCGCGCGCGTTCCCGTCTCGCATCCTCACCGGCGAGGCGCTTGCGCCCATGGAGAGGTGTCCCATCTGCTGGGCGAGCGGGGTCATCATGCCGGACGGCTGCATGGACATGTGGTGCTCCATGCCCGGCGACATCACGGTGCCCTGCGGCATCGCACACACGCGAGCACGAGACAGCTGTCGCGCGTTATAATACAGCTGCCGCCCAGGTCAGCCGCGGTCAGCGGCGATGACGCACGCGCAGGCCCCGGAACGCCGGGCGCCCGCTTGCCGTCTCGTCTCGCCCCGTCCGTCCGTTCGTCTCAACGTCGGTCTGTCCGTACGTACGTCGGTGTGTCTGTACGTCCCAAACACTGGCCCGCAGCCCGTGCTGCCCCAAGCCCGCTCACTCTTCTTCAAAGTCGATAAGAAGCCTCTGATCTCTTCCCTAATCCGTGGCCTTCCTTCTTTATGTTTTCCCAGCATAATTTCAAGCCTGCACCTCCCCGTGCTTTTTTGGGCACTTCTCATCTTTTCGTTTAATTTTTTATCGCGTCACGAGATGAAGTCGGCTCACGTTCAGCATCGCTCGCGAGAGACGGACGCGTGCTGCATCCAGCAGCGGAGCGATCGTGGCCGCTGACGACGAATGCGCCCGCTTGGCCGAAATCAACAAGCGCGGGCGGACCAGCGCTCGCATCGTACGGCGATTCCCACTTGCAACTTAAAAAACAACAACCTTGGGTGTGATTTTTCACACCTCTACTCCCGCGTTCCCCAATGACTGGGGCTGGGGGGGGGGCTGGGGGGCAACCCCGGGCGATGGGAGACGGCGAAGGAATGGGCAGATGCTGGGGGGGGGGGTGAGTGCAGCGGGTCACGTCGTAGGTGTGAAAAGCAACGCTGATGATTTTGGAAGTTAAGTTGAGAGCGATCGAGCGTTGGCTCGAATCGCACTGCCAAGAGCAAAACAGCGGGCGTGTGGGGTGGGGTGGAAGAAGGTGGGGGGGGGGGGCACTGCTGATAATGCGCTAATTCATGATGAGTCGTCTTTCATAAGGCATTTGAAAAGCAACAGCTTTTTTTCATTAAAACTGTCTATGGGAAGCTATTGGATGGCGTCCGGGGCCTGGGGTCGCCAGACGGATGCCGTTTGTATCTCCTGCAAAACCGTGCACGGTTGGGCAATGGTCGGCGACATGAGCGATGGATTGCACACGAACGCAGTCACAACTCGACTCGGACTCCTACAGAGACCCATCAGCTCACCGACTCACACAGAGGCCCGCTGACTCGCACAGAGACCCGCCGACTCGCACAGAGGCCCGCTGACTCGCACAGAGACCCGCCGACTGGCACAGACACCCACCGACTCGCACAGAGACCCACTGACTCGCACAGACACCCACTGACTCACACAGAGACCCACTGACTCGCACAGAGACCCACTGACTCGCACAGAGACCCGCCGACTCGAACAGAGGCCCACTGACTCGCACAGACACCCACCGACTCGCACAGAGACCCACTGACTCGCACAGACACCCACTGACTCGCACAGACACCCGCTGACTCGCACAGAGACCCGCCGACTCGAACAGAGGCCCACTGACTCGCACAGACACCCACCGACTCGCACAGAGACCCACTGACTCGCACAGAGACCCACTGACTCGCACAGAGACCCACTGACTCGCACAGAGACCCACTGACTCGTACAGACACCCACCGACTCGCACAGAGACCCGCCGACTCTCACAGACACCCACTGACTCGCACAGAGACCCACTGACTCGCACAGAGACCCGCCGACTCGCACAGAGACCCGCCGACTCGCACAGAGACCCACTGTCTAGCACAGAGACCCGCTGACTCTCACAGAGACCCACTGACTCGCACAGAGACCCGCCGACTCTCACAGAGACCCACTGACTCGTACAGACACCCACTGACTCGCACAGAGATCCATGCTCTATGACACAATATGACCCCGCCCCACCGTGCAGGTCCGTGGTGGGTGATTTGACCATACTTCACTACGCCGGTCAGTGCGAGTTGGTGGTTAACGGTAGATGTGGGCACGTAGAAGTACAGTGCAACAACGGATGTTGCTGCACTGCACCCTGCTGCCCACCACATAGCCCTGCAGCTCTCTGACGACCCTGTGAGTGCAGGGCGGTCACCCATGCACGCACAATCCAGGCTCAACACTGCTTAGCTTCTGATATCTGATAAGCTCGTGCTTGTTTACCTGATTTAAGTGTTTTTCGTGTTTTTCGCCAAAATGTTCCCATGACTTTACACAATTACCCTTGTATTTTGGGCCAATTTGCAGCTTAAATTAGCGGCTCCGCGTGTCTGCCGCTCATTACGGGAGAGCGGCGCTCATGGGCAGCCCCCGTCGCGTTGCGCAACAGGCGCGGCACTGCCCGCGAGCGCTCTGCTCCCGGCTCCCGTTCCCAGGACCGCGCGTCGCCCCCTGCCACGGCTGCCGTGCGGCCGTTACGCGCGGTGTTGCCTCACCGCCATCGGCGGGGCAACGCGAGGGCGGGGCGGGGGGTCTCTCCCTGCGGCTCATCCGCTAACAAGCGTGCGTGAGTGAGCGAGCAAGTGCTGGCGATGCCAGTGACGAAGCGTGGTTGGCACGGGCCCTCCCGGTGCAAGGAACTAAATATGATGGCCCTCCCACATCCTGGCCATACCCCACCCGCTTTGTGACTTGGCACCCGTGCAGTTGCACCGCCTACCACACGCAGATGGCTACGCAACAAACTCCTGTGTTGTTCTGTAGTAGTTTGTGGTTCTCCATGTGAGTCTATGGGTCCACACGTGAAATCTGCGGGTCACTATAAACCTGTGGGTCTGTATGTGAGTCGATGGGTCTCTATGTGAGCAAGCAATTGGGTCTATATATGAGTCGATTGGTGTTTACGTGAATCTCTGGGTCTTTTATACGCCTGTGGGTGGAGGAGATGTAGAATGGCTGGTAAGGTCAAATTTCCTGGCATATCGGGGCCCTTCCGCCCAGTGGGCCCGAGTGCAGTTGCACTGACTGTACACTCGTATCGTGTACAATATGCACGCACGACTGGGCCACGTCCCGTGGGCGTTTAATATACGGAACCGTATTAAATTTCGTCCATCTCCCTTTTATCCCCCGTTTTGCCGCGGCGCTCTGCCCGTCGACGCGAAGGGGCGCTTCTGCATTTTTGACCGGAAATTCAAACCCGATTTGCCCGTTTGTGGTACCGCGTCGAGGGTCGCGTGATAACCACGCACAGAGATCCCCGACCGCGCCGCTATCTTGCGCAACGTCTCACGGCTCGTTCTTGAACGCGCAGCGCCGCCGCCATCCTAATTCTTTAAACGCCCGTCGACTGGAAACGTTGCGGAGTCACGGGTCCCCAAGTCGCGTCGTTCACAATCGTTAGCGTCGTGGGCCCCGGGGGAGCAGCTGCTGTGGTAGAGGTCGTGGGAGTCCAGTGTCCAGACACCCCCCCCCCCCCCCCCCCCCCCCATATGTATGGACAAAATCCTATAAGGATTCGTGAGTCACTTCAACGAGGTGATCTTATGCCAATGACGGTACCTTTTAAGGTACCATACTAAGTTGGTAGCTAGTAATTCCATAGATGTGATATGATCATAGGGCCGTAGACCCTCGCAGTGTGAGGGGGGGGGGGGGGAGGCGAAGCTCACAGATGCTCTCTGTCACGTAACCAATAACCGATTGCTCGCAGGTCACCCTCAGAGTCCACACTGCGGTTGTGCTGCCTGGTTCCCCGCGCGGTGAGCGGATCGTGGTGGAGCCAAGGGGAGGAGGCGGCCGGGGAGGAGGAGGGGGGGGGGGGTGGATTCTGGACAGACAGGTCGGCCTAGCCGTGCCTCTGAGAGCCGCCACTCACCGGCTGCATGACGTAGGGCTGTTGCGGCATCCACGACGTGCTGTGGACCTGTCGAGACACGGCGAGCCATCAGTAACGATCGCGTCGGCGTTACGCTCGCTCGTTTTTACACCGAGTAGAATTCGCGGAACGGCCGCCGTGTGGGAACCACAGCACTGGGCGGGGCTGCTTGTGCAACCAGATTAAATCGGTCTTAAGTTTAAAAAATTATAAATGTTGGGTGCGGGAGCCAAGGACTAAGGACTTCTGGGCAGCTCAACTGGTACACATGGCGAGCTTGCAGACCCTCACTCTGTCAGCTCTGCCCACTTTTACATCGCCACAAAGATAAAGATCCCCCGTATAGCCTCAATAAACTGTTGGGGAAAGTGTTGTTAGCGAGCACCTATGAGGGCCGGCATGGCACACGAGGGGGTGGGTGACCAACACCACGCCCGGCCGCCTTTGTGTCCCCAGTGGGGATGTTTACACACCGCACAAGCCACTCATTTGAGGCTGAGTCGACCTAGGGCAGGCCCAGGACCGGTTCAGATAATCGTCACTGGTGTTGGCCGTAAGCGAGAATCGAACCCGGGTCGCACAGGTTAACAGCGCAGCGTAGCGCTAACCGCTACACCGCCGCTCCCCGACGTAGCCACGCCCACTTGACCACCAGCCCCGCGCACACCACGAGCGGCATCACCTCCATCTTCGCCCCCACTACTCAGGTAGCCCCACCCCCCTTTGCCTGCATCTTGCGTCAAACGCGAGGCCAGCAGGACTTAAAACCGGCGTCCAAATCCCGCTTCTAACAAAAGCTTCAGCGCACCGGGACGTTCAAAAACCACCACCACCGTTCCGGCTGAACTGGGACAGTTGGCAGCCAAAATTGAAAACACATTTCTGTAAAACTGCTTTTTGCTTATTTAGTTTGTTGCCCTTCCCCCGCACTTCCGATTGACACGTTTGGCTTCGTACGGTGCGAAAGACGTTCAACATATGTACATTCACACGGCCTTGCCTCGGTTCCTCTGGAACTAAGTAGGCCCGAGAATTCCGGAGTTTGCTCCCACGGGATTCGTCACGCTTTTCGTGAAATTCCTGCGTCGCATTCCACTTCTGATTGAAAGCCAATTGTTCTGGCCGACCGTCAAATGTGGTCGTCTGTCTCGGTCGTTATTTACTCTTGGCCTTGTTGACTCGACTGGAGCAAAATTGATTTTTGGCACGTCGGTTTGATTGTGAATTGATTTGGCTGCTCGTGCAAACCAGCTTAAATCAATCTTTAAGTTTAAAAATATATATTTGGGGGGAAAAGGGGGAGGGGGGGGGAAGGATAGGGTGCGCACCGCGAGGATTCAAGTTTCAAATCAACTTTGCTAAATTGATTTAACCACCGTGGAGTCGTTCTAAATCAATTCTGCACGGAAACCTAACCCAGGTTATTTTTTTTCTCTCTCTCTCTCCCTTCTCTGTTCTCCCGCTGTGCCTCGCCGTGGAAGTGATGCCGTCTGGATTCTCCATTTGGGCCGCTGGGGGCCGCTACTTGGAACACAACTCTTTAAAACTCTGCCTCCCTCCGCCGCTCGTTCGAATTGTCGTGATTCGGTGCGACCGATCGATGAAACTAAAAAAATATCGATATTTTTTTGCGTCGCGTATTCTCTCTGCTTCATTGCCTTGAAAGACAAAACAAGCTCATGTCAATCCACCGTGCACAAACGGTACGCCGTGGGACTGCGGGGCTACATGGCACGTCGCGGGCAGTGCAGTGACATCTTTCGTCCTGATGTATTTCTATGCTCACGTGCCTTTTCCGCCTCTCCTTCACCAACCCGCACCGATCAGCGGCGTGGTGAGCTCTGATCAAACAACCCTCGCGGACCCGTACGGTGCGGGGGAGGGCCCTCATCCAGCAGCGGATTAACAGAAAGGGCTGCGCATGTACTTGTCTAAGGAGGAAGGAAGGAGCCGATGATATGGCCAGCTGAAGGAGCTGCCTTTGTTCGGCGTCACAACCTAAAGATACGACGCCCCTATCATGTCCAGTGGCCTGGAGGAGGGATAGTGGCTCAGAGAAGCCTCATTGTCTGTAGGTGGCTGGCTGGATTCCATCGGCAGTGACAAAGCCGCGTGTATAAATAGCTCCTGACCACACCTCCCTCCCTCCCGTCACACCTCACTCCTCCCCCATCGCGGAATTCGCGGTTGTATTAGCCAAACCAACTTGCACTCGCTCCGGTATATACACACACAGTATACACACACAGTACACACACAGTGCACACACAGTACACACACTAACACGGTACACACACACACGGTACACACACACGGTACACACACACGGTATACACACACACACGGTATACACACACACGGTATACACACACACGGTATACACACACACACCCGGCTCTTCCAATCTAAACAATTAACGTCGCGTGGAAGGTATCCCGGCAGGGGTCCAGACACCCCCAACGTGTTTCGGTGCCGCCGAGAGAGACGCACAACATTTTGGGGGGGGGGGGAAATTGTGGGCACTTTTGATTAGCACTGCAAGAGGCCTCCACGTGCACGTCTCTCCTCTTCATGTCTTCTCCGTGTCTCCTTATCTCCACCTCTCCCTGTATCTGCCTCTCTCTCTCTCTGTTATTCTCTCCATGTCTCTCTGAGCATCTCTCTTTTGGGCTGCGTCTCTTTGCCAGTTTTCATGTTGTCTATCCATGGCATTCTCCCTGCATCTCTCTGCATGCCTTGTCAGTGTTTCTCTCCCCAGGACCCTCCTCTGTCTAAGTCTTCCTCTGCAACTCTCTCTCTCTCTCCGTGTCTCTGTCTCTACATCTCTGCTTCACAGAGCCCCCACTCGTCATTAAACCAAATCTGTCAAGGAACGTAAACCATCACGTGAACTCTGCGGTGATTCTCGCACCGGATTTGCTACCCATCAAATAAAGACGGCCACTGCATCGCGCGCGTTCAGATGCGCTGCTACGGCCGTCTGGAACGCTCTTCCTTCCGATATTAGGGAGAAACTGGAGCTGTGCAATTTTAAATCTAGATTGAAAAGTCATTTCTTTAGAACTGATTTTCGTATTTAGTTTGTTGTCCTTCCCCCACACCTCCAATTAGCACGGTTGGCTACGTACGGTGCGAATGAAGTTCAAAATACACACAAACACATACAGTAAAACCTTGGATTGCGAGCATAATCCGTTCCGGAAACGTGTTTGTAATCCAAAGCACTCGTATATCAAAGCACTCGTATATCAGTTGTGATCACGTGACGCTCGGCAGACAAAGCGTATACATACTGCTCGTATTGCAAGACCTCGCTGACCAAGTTACTCGCAATCCAAGGTTTTACTGTACATATAGGGGCCGGCGATTAACAACATCGCCAGCAGCAGTAGTAGCAGCGGCGGCAGCAGCTCACCTGGTAGGTGGAGATGGGGCTGCTGGGAAGGTAGGGGCCTACGGGCGTCTGGGCCATGATACGTCCCGTGGCCAGGCTGTACGGACTGGAGTAGAACCTGGAACCCGGATGGTGAGAGACAGACGAGGTGGGGGGGAGGAGGGTGCGGACGTTAAACAATGAAGCAGAAGGAAACGGGGAAGAGGGACAGAGACAGGGGCAAGGGCGGAAGAGCAGAGCGGAAAAATATTTATGCTAAAGCATCAAACATTTGGCTGCCACCAGCGATGTTTATTTGCTGTACGTGCAACATATGTGGAGTACAGCCCACCCAAAAGGATCTGCACATTGCAAGGCTGCCTGGTTACGTTTGACTAGGCCAAAACTGTGTGTATATTGTACATGTATATAATAGCTGTGTGTGTATGTGCTTCGTTTGGGGAGTGGTAGTGTAGTGGTTTTCGTACTGGGTTATACGACCCCAGCGACCAGAGTTCAATTCCTGCTCACGACCAAGAAGTGGCAAATATTTGAACATTATATAAAGGCTATAGGGGGGATCTTCTTTCTTTGTATGCCACACAGTTCAGTATAATCAACATCAGCTATGATCCGTCCACTTCTGGATGATGGTTGTATTGAAGCTGTTGCCACCTCACACAATCACGCGATGCGACGATCCATCTGGCTCAAGCACACGATCTGATCTCATCGCTCCATCTCCGCAGGGTTACGTCACCTCGGACGCGTTCCCGCCTTTGGTGGCCACTCCGTCGTTAGTCTGGGCCACCAACCATCATCGGAGGAGGGGTCATGGCCCACGGTAACAATGAGATCAGACTTGAGCAGGACCACTGCATCGTGAGACCAGGATGGATAGCGGTGGCTTGTGGAGGCCTGCATCCAGCAGTGGATATTTTATGGCTGATGGTGACGATGATGCGCCTACCATCACCAAACCACGGAGCGTATATGACTTCCCAGTGCCTCAAATAGAAATCTGAAAGCAGTGGGTGAGTGGCTCGGTGGGTGGATGGTTCAGTGGTGGGATGGGTAAGTGGGTGGGTCAGTAGGTGGTTCAATGGGTGAGTAAACAAGTGGGTGGGTGGATGGTTAAATGGGCGGGTTGTTAAGTGGATGGGTGAGTAAGCGACTGGGTGGGTGGATGGTTGAATGAGTGGGTGGGTAAGTGCGTGGGTGAATGCGTGAGTAAGCGAGCGGGTGGGTGGGTGAGTGGGTGTATCTGGAATTCGGCAACTCTCAGACAGAGCAAATGAACGGCTGAATCACTTAGCGTTGACTCTCTAACAGTCGCTCCACATTGGTCCTCACGCAATCATGACAAAGATTCATTGAGAGCACGCGCAGGGCACAGATTCCGCGGTGGTGCCAAGCGCTGCCCCGGAGCCACTGGCTCGTTGAGTGTGGTTGAAGTGTGAGGCGAGTGTCGGGCGCCGTGGTGGCGATATGTTAACAACCTTGCCTGGTATACAGGAGGTTTGCATGTTCTCTCTCCCCGTGGGCGTGTGGATTTTTTTCCGGGTCCTGCGGTTTTTCCCTGCAGATTTAGAATCAACGTGCGTTCAGAGTATTTGGCCGCTATAAATGTACATGTGGAGATAAGCCACTTCGTTGAGCTATCGTTTGTGACCGGGTCGCTTCTGAGAAACAGCTCAGTGGGCCCTTACCCGGTAAAAAGAAAAATTGTTTTTAGTTTACCCTCGCCCAGGGTCCCGACCGTCGCCACGGCCCCCGAGCGAACTTGGCTACCAGCTGGGTGCGGGGAACGCGGCGTGGTGAAAACTCCGACGCGGGCAGCCCCTCTTACCCATTGTGGAGAGCGGCGGTCGGGTCGTAGGTCAGGGTCACGCCGGTCTGCAAGAGCAAGGGTGGCGTTACGCGGTCAGTTAGTGCGGTTTAACGTACGCGGCCGGTGTCGAGTTACCGGGATGATGCACACCGCGACATTTTAGAAACGCAACAGCTGCACTTGTAATGCTCTGCACCTTCGCCGATTTAGCTTCCGTGTATTTTAGGGTACCTGCCATTCATTGCCACTTTCCTCTACGCACCGAGCATGCGGACCGGTTTCCTGCACCGTGCAACGCCCTACGTACCCTCTCACTACCCCCCAGGCCCGCTCGCCCCACTTGCTGCCCCTGCCCCCCCAAAATAACAAAATAACCAAAATAAAACGGCCCCTAAAGTAAACAGCTGACAGCTAAGATCGAAAGCGTTTATGCATTGGCTCTGTCGTCCGTGTGTCTGTAATGGGGGGGGGAGGGCGGTGGGGGCACAATAACACGGTCCAATGGGAACGGAGCTGCTGTCGTGTGAAGTTCTGTTGCACTTAGTGACTCACTCTGTAGGAAACTGCTCAACTTGGTCAAGGAGTTGAACACTACTCGGAGGCCCGAATAAGAGCAGCAAAGAGGACTGCAGTGCATTTAGCTCTGACAGCGTCTGTATATGTCTATCTCTCCATATGTGTGTGTGCCTGTGGGTCTCGGTGCGAGTCTATGGGCCTCTGTGTGAATCTAAGGGTCCCTGTGCGAGTCTATGAGTTTCTGTGCGAGCCTATGGCTCTCGGTGCGAGTCTATGGGTCTCGGTGCAAGTCCGTCTCTCCGGATCGCTACTTCCCACGATGGCAAGGGATGGCTGCGACTCATGCGTGGCGGGGCGGTGGGGGGCGGGAAGCCTTCATCAAGCAGTGGATAGATCGCGGGCTGTTGCTAGTGCAGGCGAGGGGGCCACTCACGATGCGCCCGTCACCATCCCGTGGCCACGCACGCCCGTTCACCAGGTACTTGCTCTGGTTCTGCCGCTTCTTCTGCCCTCCGTCCGCAAACTTGCACAGCAACGGCTCGCTGGGCACTGGGGCACGCGAGGTGCACGCGGACAGCGGGATGTGACGGAGAGACACGGACGGAGAGATGCGGAGAGACAGATAGACGGACGGACAGAGAGCCATAGATGGAGAAACGCGGGGATGTAGAGAGATGGAGACAGAGAGAGGGAGAGATACAGATGGACGAGAGGTAGACAGCCGGAGAGATAGACAGACACAAATAGAGATAGCGAGACAGAGACAGACAGACCAACAGACAGAGAGAGAGAGACAAGACAGAGACAAACAAAAGTCAATTACTGCATTTAGATACAAAAGACTAAAATACTCCGCCACCTGTTTCCGGGTTGTACCGCCACGCGTTTCGCTCCAAGTGAAGCGAAACGTCGGACGTCACATCGAACAGCGTGCAGCACGACCCGAAAACACATCTGAGAGTGATGTGGGAGGTGAGGCTGGGGGGGGGGGGAAGTGGGGGGAGGTCACGCTTCCTCTGGCTTTGCGATCGCTCCGGAAGAAATTGAGAAATATTGCCGAGCTCACTGAACAAATCGCCGCGATGCTCTCGCGGTCGCTGCGGCTCGGCGCCGTTTGGCGATTGCTCGAAACGACAACGTGGCGGCGGTGGCGAGAATTCCCGTAAGCGAGCGAGCGTCAAATGCGCGCGCCGCTAAAAACCCCAGGGTCCCCATGTGGTAACGATCACCGCCGGGCTCACGTTAATATATATATTGTTTCGCGTCGGAGCAATCGCGTATTGATTACGCCCACCTGAAATAACAATTTTGTAAAATTAAGGGCAGATTTTTGTTGGCTTTTTCCGTCACAGCTGGCGCTGCCGTGGCGCTGCCGTGGCGCCGCGCGGCACCGCCGGCTCGCCCACGCAGCGTTGCCGCCGTTGGCGGAGGGCCCGGTGCGAGCGTTCCCCTCCGCACTAAACCCTGGCTCGCGCGTCGTGGCGACCGGCGTGCGCATCCCTCGGCGGACTCGGCCCGGCCTCTCGCCCTCCCCTCGCTTCTCGCTCCGCTCCCCTCCACAGGCCAACAACAACGCGACGCAGTCTAAGCGCGACCGGCTGCATCTCAAGATGCCGTACGGAGACGGTGGGAATATTTAGCAGGGAGACGGAGGCAGTCGGTCGCAGGCAGAGGGAAAATATTCTTGCGCCTGGACTTGAACAGGGAGAGGACAGCCCGGACGGCCGGGGGAAAGGAGCTCCAGGAAAAATTAGAGACATCCCATGGAGCGAAGGCCGAGTGGAGGCTTCGACAAAAAGCCTTGGTTGCCTGTCTCTCCATCTCTATTTGTGTCTGTCTGTCTCTCCGTCCGTCTATCTCTCGTCCATCTGAGGTGGGAGAGGTAGGAGAGTGTGGGGAGGGGAGAGGTAGGAGAGTGTGGGGAGGAAAGCAGAGGGGAGGGGTAGGAGAGTGTGGGGAGGGGAGCAGAGGGGAGGGGAGAGGTAGGAGAGTGTGGGGAGGGGTAGGAGAGTGTGGGGAGGGGAGAGGTAGGAGAGTGTGGGGAGGGGAGGGGTAGGAGAGTGTGGGGAGGGGAGGGGTAGGAGAGTGTGGGGAGGGGTAGGAGAGTGTGGGGAGGGGAGAGGTAGGAGAGTGTGGGGAGGGGTAGGAGAGTGTGGGGAGGGGAGGGGTAGGAGAGTGTGGGGAGGGGAGGGGTAGGAGAGTGTGGGGAGGGGAACAGAGTGAGAAGGCATGCATGGAAGTGCGCGTCGTAACAACTTGTTTTTTTACATTTCCTGCCAAGTGTATGCAAATGCCATGAAAATGTTTTATATTGGGGCTTATGGGGTGAACGAGATTGACCGAACGACGCAAGACGGACGTACACATGTTGAACTTATTTCGCATCGCACGTAGCCAACCGTGCCAACCGGAGGTGCGTACAACAACAGCAAGCGGACAAAACAAACGAGACGCCACAAGACGAAGCAGGGGCAACGCAAACCATCCACGCGGAAGACAATTCTCAAACGAACGTCCCGTGACCCAAGTGCGTGACATTCACAACGGGCCGTGGACACGGGAGACCCCCCCCCGCCCCACCCCTCGACGGTCGCGATCAAGACGACTGCATTTCGAACAAATGAAGAATCGATTCTTTAATGGAACCGTCACGGAATTCGTGACGAATCGTTGATTTGCAGGGGGGCGGGGGGGGGGGCACGGCGGACCGCCGCCGCTAAGCGAGAGCCGTCGGGGCGACGCTCCGATTAGCGTCGAATTGATCTCCGCCACTCGAGCTGCGACCGGTCAAGGCTCACCGCCACTCTGGCGGGCCCTCTTGCTCTTCACGCAATTATTCTCTTTGATGACGGTGTAATCGACCTAAATGGATTTCCGTGGTTATTGGTTCAAGTTGTTCTGATGGCCCTGCAAATTACACGGATCCCCTCTGCATTGTTGATTGCCCGCTTAAAACGGAGAGAGAGAAAGAGAAATCCTCTGCAATTTGTGCAGTAATGTGATAATGAGTTGTCCCTTGCAATTAAGGTGATTGTATTTGTGCGTGTGTGCCTATTTTGTGAAGCTAATTTTCCCAGCGAGAGTCTATTGCGAGCCGCGTATTTCACATTGATAGACTAATTACCGTAATTGGGGTCACAAATTACCAGAGCGGAGACGACTCCACTGCTGGCTTGCGCCGCGTACGCTGGCGCCCTTCTGCTTTCGTGTGGCGTGCGGCGGCCAGCGATGGCTGCACGATGTTGGCGACGTTGCTAAGCCACCGCGGTCGGTTGACGTTGTGGACATACGGGAGATGATGCCCGAGCGATTTCGTCCATGAATGGTCAAAGCGGGGCAGTGTCGGACCCATACACCCGCAGAGAAAACCCAAGACTCGCATCGGGACCCATGGACTAACACAGAGACCCATAGACCCACGTAGGGACCCATAGACTGACAAAGAGGCTCACAGAAACACAAAGGAAACCATAGATTCACACCGAGCCCCAGACTCACAGAGCAACCCACAGAGAAACGGAATGACCCATAGACAAAGCGCAGACACACATAGACTCGCACGGAGACTCACAGTATCACACAGGGGCGATTATAATTGCATTGGGACCTATAGCCTTAAATGGTCGAAGTGGACAGTGTGGGATGCTGTGGTCCTTGTTTTGGCTTAGGTGTCAGTCGGGCGTGGGTGAGCGTGGACCACTGCTTCTGTGGGAGGTCGAAACCAAGAGGTAGTTTCACTCCCTTAACGGGATGGGGAAAATCGTGACACTGAAGTCTTCACATTTCGGTCGACCGACATTCCTCGGGGTTTTTTTTGTTGTTGTTGTTTTCTTTTATTTTCCACCGAGTAAAAGAGAGACTTCCTGTTTCTCGTTGTACTTGACGTGAATAATAAAAAATAATAATTTATTCCCTTTGTGTACGGAGGACTTGCCCATCCATGTCGGTTCGGCCATGTGGGGAAATGATTGACCCATACTTCGTCAGGATCGTCAATGCGGGTTGCTGAAGTGGTGGTGGTGTAGGTGGGAGTTCAGAACCGGTTCAGATATCACTCACCACCAATCTCAGCTGTGACCTCGAATGGAATTATAGGTCGGCAGGTTCGTTTGTGCACTACACAAACCTCTGCTGCCCGCCCCACGTCCTTGAGTCCCGTGCCGGCTTTAATAGGTGCTCGCAAACAAGCACAATTGCTGCAACAATATCTATAATTTACGGGGGGATCTGTGCCTTTGTGTGAAGTATAAAGGTTGGTGGCTGGGGCTTTTCCGTCTGAGTCTATCGGAACCCTGGAAACTATGACCGTTTATGATGGAATCAGGCCTCGACAAAGAACAGTGGTGGTGGTTACAGCTGCTGATACATTCCAAGCTAAAGGCCGAGTTCAAGTCGATGCCACCTAGCGAAGTACTTGGTGACCCGCCACTGTCAACAGCAGCAGCAGCACAATCACCACTGTCATGATTATCGTTACCCAACCACTGCCATCATCATTAACATCATCATCGCTGTCATGCCAGCACCAGTTTTTTGGTTTTGTTGATGAAACCCGATTTAAGAGCTTCTTAGCTCACAGGGCAATTCTAAATAAACTGTTCAAACAACACCACCACCCATTTATCATCGTCGTCAATAAATCAGCATCATGATCATCCACAGCAGCGTCAATGCAACTGCAGTATATCTGTTCCCAAAGAACCTTTAATAAGAATAATAATAAAACTTCACAAAGTGCCCTTGAATATAATAATTCTCAGGGCGTAGCACTCACCCTAACAGACTGTTAGGGTGAGTGCTGGTGTAGGCCAGCACATCAGACGAGCGGGTGGAGATGGCCAGCACCGCACCCGGCCGCCTTTATCTCCCCAACGCCGAGGTGTACACGGCACACATTCGCACCGCCGCCAGCACCGGTAGCAGCCACGCAGGTGGCAGGCGGTCAAGCCGGGGAGCGAGCCGCGCTTCAGTAACTCCGCCGTCACCGCCGACGACGACGACGACGACGACAACACCACCGCCACCGCCGACTTACACGTCAACCGGCATCAAAACCGAGCCGGCCGTGCCGCTCGCTTTGCCGCGACCCGCCCGGCCCGCACGACGCATCGCCCTCGCCGCCGCCATCGCCCCGCCGCGTTCAAGCGACGCCGGCCGCTACAAGTTGAACTCGACGGGGCGGTGGGGGGGGGGTCGTCACGCCCGCTTCGCCGCCGGCGGGTCCTGGCAAGCGCTTGTTTTGCGTCAGAGGCTCTTGGCGTCAACAGGAGTGGAACTGATTGGGGCGATGCCCCCCCCCACCCCAGCTACCGCCGTCCCCGGCCGTGCGCGAGCGAGTGGCGCGCCCTCGCCGGTGTTATGTCTGCGCCGCGCGCTATCTTGTGCCGCGACGGCTCACGGACAGTGGCGGCGGCGATAAACACGAGCGCCAGATCAAAGCCCCCCCCCCCCCCCCCCCCCCCCCAGACTCCGCGCCGGCTCGAATTCGGAATTCCTTTGAGTATCTTTGGGTTTTCAAATTGTGTAGCGCCAAGGCCAAACAACAGGCTTCTCGCCGCAAGTTGGAATAACACCGCATCGCAAAAACTACAATCGACAAATAAACTCTCGTTCGGTGTGAACCTCGCCAAGAGCCGGTCCGTTTCTACAGAGTTCGGTTGTCCAAAATGGTTAAGTGGAAAATGGAAAAGGCGCAGACCCCTGCGATTGCTTGCTCACGCCACTGTTGGTAGAAGGGCCTCCACTAGAGGGAGCTCAAGAGAGCCCCCCTCTCGCGCGGTATTCGGCCCACTCTTCCACAATGACCAGACGTCCCGGGAGAGGCGAGCGCCTACACTTTACCCCCCACCGCACGTGGCCTGCCGATCGGCGAACTGCGGCGTTACCCGTTCACACCGCTGGGGCGGGCACGGGCGGCGGGTGGGGAATGAAGAAAACCTGTCCCGCTGTTTCAGCTGCCACGCCGGGAGATTGTCTAGGGTGCTGACCGTCGCACGACGGCGCCATGCCTCGTCGTCAAAGAACGATCGTCGTTAATTAAACGGCACGTCAGCACACAGCTACACGCTGGCGCTTGGTGGCGAGGAAGATTTTTATCCTTCGAGCGTGATCTCCCTACCACCCCCCACTTCACCCCACATGTCTGTCATAGCACTGACACTGCAACGTTGTATCAAGATTGAGAGTTGCAGGTGTTCACCAGCATCTGTGCTGTGATTGTTTCCAAATCTCCCCTTCTCTGCTGCTGAAGATCACTCGAGCTTAAAGCGGTTTATCTATCGCGTTGCGTGCCAGCAAATGACTCAAATGGGATTACACACAGCAGCAGCAGCAGCGCAGGCAATCGTCGCCCCCCCCTACTGGCAGACCGATGATGCCCGTTTGCAGGCCATGCGCCGAGTCGCCTTGTGCCGCACAGGGACAGCTGCCACTGGGGGTGCCCTCTCGCGTGCGTTTGAGATGAGATGCGAGTCGCTTATCGCGCGTTAAGCGCTCCGACACTCGCTCGCGGAACGGGAGGGGCGTCTCTATCGATGCAAACCAATCACGTCATAATCCCAAACATCCTACCGCGCGGTTCAAGTTGACGCCGTCAGGATTCTTTCACAACAATAACGATAGTTCTACCGTTATGGACATCCTTACACTTGATCTCGAGCCTCGCACCTGAGACTTTCTGATTTGCCGGGCCTTGGTGTTAACGTGCGCGACGTCGATGGGGTGCACGGTGGCTCGCAACTCACCGTGCCGCGAACCCCGAGTTCGCTACCCGGCCACGGACACCACCAGCGGCGAGAGATGCCTGGAGCCCCCCCCTACCCCCGCCCCCCCATCCGGCCCGTTACCACACCCGGCCGCACTGTTAAGCAAAGTGCTGAATGCACCGGCGCCGCTGTTGGCGTACGGAGTCGGAGAGGGTGCTGGGGTTCGTTGAACTCACATGGGACGCCGTGCGGCGTGGTCAGGAACTTGCCGTTGAATCTCTGGATGACCGCCTCGCATTTCTCCGTGGACTCCATCCTGAAAACGCCAAGAGTCACACGGAAAAGGTCGGGGGGGGGGGGGGGGGGGGCGCTCAGTCTCAGTCTCAGTCTCCAGGGCGCTCGACCCCAACGCCCGGAGTTTGACCTCCGGGCTCACGTCCTTGCGCTGTGGTGGGCCCGGCGCTCTGACGTCACGGTGTCAGACGCAGCCCACACGATGGGATTTGCCCCCAAATGGACGGCCCTGGGTATTCCCATCTCTCTGAAGACGCCTGGCCAGCGCGGCTCCCGAGTGGAGGCCCGTCCGCCAGCAGTGGCGTGAGCCAAGCAATTGCAGGGCTGCGCCTCTACCTCTTGACCCTGCTGGTGAGCGAGGCAGTGGGAATGGCATGGTTAGGGGCGGGGGGACAATGGATCAATGAGACGTAAGCCTAGAAACCCCGGCAGGAGTGCGCCAGGATCCAGACGGAGGTCGCTCTGATCACACACGACGATGGAGCGCTGGTGCAAGGGCGAATGAAGCGAAGGTCGCCGATTTAGTCATTCATTATTTAGTCATTCATCGTTCAGTCATTCGTCTGGGAAGGCCTCGTCGAGTCCGTTGGAGTCGCCGCCACGAGGCTGCTACGTTGGACTTCGCTCCTCAGTTGCTGCCACGTTAGCGGCTGCGTCCAGCTCCCTTGTCAATCCACTGCTAGATGGATGAAGGCCTCCCAAACGCTGGGTCGGTCACAGGGGGTTATTTTACTAAGTGTGGGGGTGGGGGGGGGGGGACTGTGGCTGGTGTAAGTGGGGGGGGGGGGGGGTTGGGGGGCGAGGTGCGGTGCGAGAGCTGACCGTGCAAAGCCGACGCCGCGGCTGGTGCCGGCGGCGTCGCGCAGGATGCGCGTGGAGATGACGTGCCCGAAGGGCTTCAGCAGGTTCTCCAGCTCCTTCTCGTCCACGCTCATGGGCAGGTTGGAGATGTAGAGGTTCGTGGGGTCCTGCTCCTGTTGCTGAGGTGGCACGGACGGCGGCGGCGGCGGCGGCGGGGAAGGGAGAGGAGAGGGAAACGTGAGAGGGGCAATTTGCCATTCGGGTTTCGCGACGGGGGGCGAGAACTGCGAAGGGGCGCCGAACGCTGCGACGCTACGGCACTGGCGGCCCGGCCCGCGTTCGCTTTGCAGCCAAACGGTTAACGTCGGTGGCGAGCGGGATACCAACCGGTCCTGGCACACAGAACCCCAGCTACTAACCCGCGCTGAATGGTACGGTGAAGGATGTCAAAAAAAACCCACAACTTGCACGCGATCGGGAGGCATTCATCCAGCAGCAGATTGTAAAGAGGATGATGTGTATGTATTATTATATCGACTCACTGTCGATTTCTGAACACAGCTGTGAATACAGTATACACGTTTTCAAATTTAAAAAAAAATCACTCGTACGGGATAAAGGATGCGATGGTAAATTATAAAATGTGAATCATTATGTAATGTCAACCGCTGGCTGGTTTGATTAACAATGCAAAAACAGGAGGGGAGGGGATGGGAGGGGATGGGGGGGAAGTGGGGGGAGGAGAGGGTTGGGCGTGTGCATTTGCAATGAATTTCCCCGAGGCTGCCCCGTGCGTAAGCGATTGACAATTTTTCGGCAAACAATGCCGCCCCTGTGAAGCGCGCGGAGTCGCGCACGCTACCCGGCTCTGCGTGCCGCGCTCCGTCCGTGCGGCCGGATTCTACCGAACAGTGGGGCCTTGTGGGTACACGGCACCAATTGCCCGGTCACGGGGGGGAGCGGCAGCGGAGGAGGGCCCAGCCACACCGTGGAAGTTGGAGGCTCCCCGCTAGCGAACGACTCTCGGTCGTGGCAGGCTTATGATGAGTGCGGTGCAGCCAAAGCGCGCTTAAGTGCCCTCTGTCCGTACTTGAAGTGCGTCCCAACGACAGAAAGACGAAGTACGGTCACAAGGCTTAAGGGGAACTTTATATCGCAATAGTCGTCACGTCGTCAAATTTGATACGGTATCAAGTTTCAAGTTGATTTAGTTTCACCAGGTGAGATCGCAAGGGACCCGGATGTGAAGCCCCGTTTGCAAGCGTGACTTGGGTCACCAAAATGACAAAAGCTAAACAAATAAAATAAAGTACAGCAATAAGGCAAACAGAAATCGGAGCGAAAGCAACTACACCACGTGAGATGTTGAAAACATTGCATCGTGAAAAATGGCGCGGCCAGACCAGTTCCCACTGGTTGTTGGGTAGATTTCAGACGCGGGGTGACCCATACATTGTCAATGATATCAATAATTAACATCATAATGATGCTTGCTGTGGCTTCCAAAGTAAACCAGTCATTATTTGTTTCTTGAAGTCTCAAAGGGAGACAGATCCAGCGGCTTGCGCGTGGAGTGTAGCGTGTGGTGTGGGTGGTAGGGCATGTGTCCGTGTGTAGCGTGTGTAACTTGTGGTGTGGGGAGGATGTTCATGTGTGCATGTGTGCGGGTTTAACTTGTGTAGCGTGTGTGCGTGTGTAGCGGGTGTTGCATATTGTGCGTGTGTAGCGGGCGTCGCGTGTGTGCGTGTGTAGCATGCGTAGCGTGTGTGTAAGAGGAGGCCGGATGCCGCCGGCCACGGCCACGCGTGCGTGGCGGGCTGGGTGCGTAGCAGCAGGAAGCTGGGACGTTAAAGCCGAACTCGGAGACCGTGCACTGAATCGGCGATGACATGCAAATGAGTTCTGAAATTCCAGCGTGCTGGGCGGCGCCGAGATTTCCCAAGCAGCCGCGGGGAGAGAGCGGAGTACAGTGACGGCCCCGAGGGGATCTGACATTTTTTTTGCGTAAAACTCGGGGAAAACTGAAGGACCATTTTTCTGCGGTAATTCATCGGCCCTCAAAAAAATCCCAACGTTCGTTAAATGGAAAAAGCCAGCGGATTTTTTTTTATTTGTATAAAACTTGAAAGCTTGTTTATCCATTCATTTTTACATCCTTATTCTTGGAAGACGTTAATCCTATGAAAGGAATTTTGGGTTAGGACGTGAGCCTTGCCATAAAGCGCAAGGTTTTATTTATTTATCTATCACGTTTGTTTAAAAAGTTCGGCCTGTCGAATACGTTTTTATCGGCAGGAAATAAATCCACGCCGGGGTTCATTCAGAGGACGCGGAGCCCACGAGTGAGACCAGCGAGGGACACACGCGCGCTTGGAGGCCGCTCAAATGTTCTCGAACGTTCGGCTCCTCGCCAGAGAGATTCTTTCCGCCAGTTATTCTACACGGAGTTAGAAAAAAAACAGCGGCGGCTTTCAGAAAAGGCGGGGGGCGGAAGAAAAAAAAAACAAAACCTCCTCCACACGTGCTCCAATAACGCTCATCTTTCACGCGATTCCCAGTGCCGGAGTGGCGGCTGTGGAATTCCTGCCCTCGCCCCCCAACAAAGCGACAAAAAAATGGGAATGATTAAAGAGGACTCCGCTTGTTGGGGAACGTTCGGCCTGAGATTCTCAAAAGGGTTGCGGGGCCCCAATGACGAGGCAGCGGACATTATCAGGCCACGTGACCAATTCGGTTTTCGAGATGACCCGTCCGGTACGCTCCTCGCTTCGTCGCGCTCTGCATGTGCCCCCACCCCTCCGACCCCCCACCCCCCAGACTACAGCGTGGTGTGTTTGATTAGGAGAGTCACAGCGCAGTGGTTAGCACGTCGCGTGACTAACCCGGTGACCCGACTTCGATTACCGCTCACGGCCAACAACAACGGTGACGATTATCTGAATCGCCCCTGGGCCTCCCCGAGGTCGACTCGGCCTCAATTGAGTATGCGGTGCAACGTGTAAACATCGTCACTCAGCCTCAATTGAGTATGCGGTGCAACGTGTAAACATCGTCACTCGGGAGACAAAGGCGTCCGGGCGTGGCGCTGGCCAGGCACAATTCCCTCGCGTGCCACGGCGCAGCCCTTCACAGGTGCTACTCGCGAACAGCACTTGCCCCAACAGTCTGTTAAGGCTACACGGGAGACCTTTGTCTTTGATTGGAGTTTTGGCAGCGGTTGGCGCTCTCGCTCCGTGTGTGTTAACAACCGGGGCCGGAGAAGATGCACCCCCCCCGCCCCCCATCAAAGAATGTTTGTTATTCCTCTTGAGACGAATGTTGGGCGTCCGCCCCTATGAACCGCTATTCCTAAATATTTGTTTTCCTCTCAAAACATCTGCACCCTCTTATTTCTCTTGTGACGAAATAGGCTTCGTTTGCACATAATTCAATATCCCATGCATTTTTCCAACTCTGCCCTAACTGGGGCCGGATTAAGGTTACGTGAGGCCTCATGCTAATAAGACGGAAGGTCCAAAACATGTACTGTATTACATGTTGCTAGACATGCTTATGAAGTAGCCAAACATTTATTTACGTATGTAAAATTAACACATTTATTTGACTCGTGGTAAATTCATTGCGGTGAATGATAGCGCCTCTAGTGGCTGCGGGGGTGAGGTGAAATCCATTACGCGATGCGTGCACCAATCGAAACGCCATCGGTTCTACGTATGAATCGAGCTTTCAAAATCAATATTAAATAAACGAATAAATGCGTCGTTGCATCCTGAACTTTTAAAATCGAAAATGTTGTGGTCCCTGCTGCTGCTGCATTGGCAGAGGCGCTCGGGCACAGTGAACACAGAACACTCTTTTAGGGCGGTCTTGTGTCAATTGCGCGCTCGCTTTCGTGATTCCAGAGTGTGCCGCACGTTCAACTCAAACGGATCGTGAGCGCCGAACCGCAAGACCGCGAAAATCATCGTAACGACAGGGTTGGTGGCGGCACAGCGGCAGCGCCAGTGGCTCACGGCAAGAACGACTTGGCGCGCTCGATTGCCGACTCTGGCACCCTCTCGGCGTCTAGTTTGTATGTTCTGTCCCCCTGTTCTGCTCGAGTTTCCCCTGGGTTCCCTGGCTTCCTCCCGAAGCTAAAAGCATACGATGTGTAATTGGCGTTGACCAAACGTCCCAATGCAGGACCCTCCTTAAATAAAAAATAAAAGTGCGTGATTTTAGCATCGCCGCAACATTGCAACGCGGAACACGGCACACGGCACACGGCACACGGCACATGCACACGGCACACGCACGCACAGGCCCGACGAATCCCGTGCGCGTGTCCCCCCCGACTGCGCTGATTAAGACCCGGCGCTGGGGACTGGAACAATGGCCCTCGCAGGACCCAGGAGCACGGGGACGTCCACGCACAATGGAAGCCGGGAACACAATGCTGCTCCTAGGCCCCATTCAACATTCCGGCGGTGGACGCTGAGAATCCGGCGCTGCCGTGGTATTCGCCGGTCCCCGGCCACCCCCCCCCCCCCCCCGCTCCCCCGGACGGCTGGCGCCGTGGACCTTCGTTGGCCAATTAGGGCGGCGTAGAGAGCGGCGGAGTTGGGAGCGGCGGTGCGGAGAGCAGGTGACCTGGCCCTCTCATCATCCCGGCGCTCCCAAGCCCCGCGTGCTCGATTGCGCGCAGCAGAATGATTTATTGTCTCCTCGGAAGTTTGTTCTCCGCGCGCGGCATAGTGGCGAGCGCACCAGAGTTTGGTTCCCGCTCACGGCTAACGGTGGCGAATGTCTGAGCCGGTCCCCCCTGGCCTCCCCTACGTTGGCTCGTCCTTAATGAGTATGTAGTGCGATGTGTAGGCGTCAGCACTGGGGAGACAAAGGTGGCCGGACATGGTGTTAGCCACACCACCTTCTTAAGTGCCGTGCTGGCCTTAAGATGTGCTCGCCAACGGCACTTGCCCAAGCAACATATGTACGCTACATGGGAGATCTGTGTCTCTTCTCGCTATGCACACATTGAGAACGCCTTAAATGGCCACCATAAGTTTTATCCTGATTGTGCTATCAGCCTCTTAGAGCAATGAAGTGGATATCACAGAGCTACCTCTTGAAGTCCCTTCAAGTGACCTGGCTGATGATAATGATGATCTTCATTATGATCATCATTGTTATCAGCCATGATCTATCCACTGCTGTATATTTCGATGTATCCTGTAATTAACATTGCCCTCCCTTTGGCTCTCTGTGGAAGTGCAACCTGCGTCGCACCAGCCTCGCGATCTCTCCCTGCGTTCAATCTGTCGAGGACGGAGAGAGACGGGCGCCCGTCGATCCGTCCGTTTGAATCGGGGAGTCGAACTCCACCACATTCGGGAGCGAGGACCACGCGGGGCTAGTCTGACCTCCGCATACCCCCCTCCCCCCCCCCCCCCCCCCCCCCCCCATCATTCGTCGGCGGGAAAGAGGCGGGCAGCGTGCACCGGTGTCGGTCGCGGCCCCCTGGCTCGCAGACTCCGAAATAAGACAAATATTTGGGGAGCCTTCAGCCCCTAATTGCGGCCACGGCGTGCGTGCCGAGCGCCTGCCTTTTCTCCGCCTGTCTTGGCATCACAATGGGGAACGCATTCCTCAGGCGGAACTGGCGGCCCCGGCCGACAGGGGAGCGCGAGCGGAGGTGGGGGGGGGGGGCCCTCGACCGTAAATAATACCAAACTAGCTGTACACAGAACCCGGCTTGTGTTAACAACCGCGAGGCACCGCGGCTGTCCTCTCGGTGCCAAAGCGAGGGCTTGGACGAGCGTCGCGCCGGCGGTCGGCGAGGGCCATTTGTGGAGCGATCTCTCGCCGAGCCGTGATGAGCCGGGCTCGGCGCGGACACACGGCCGTTTGTGCGTCCAGACACAAAATTCTGTACGCGCGCCCCGACACACGCGCGCGTGAGGCCTGCGTCATCAATCACGCGAGGAATGCGCGCGGTCGGGAATATCGTGGTGGAGCTTCGTGGACGAAGGCGACGAGCGCTCAAAGGAGGCGCGCGTTTGGAAGCGCGTCCAGGCACGGGACGGGGATCGCGCGGAGTGATTGACGTTGAGAAAGGTTAGCGGGATTGGGCCGGCTTGGACTATTTTGATGGAATGTACGACGGCCGGTGGTCGAGGCTCAACGACGGACGGAACGTGCCGGAGAGAGGACGTCTGCCGCGGAGGGAATGAGTGAAGAAATCGGCTCGTGTGTCGGTTCCGGATGGATCGTTGCGTCGCGGGACCGCGAGCATCGTTGTCTTCATCCGACATGCTCGTTACATTTGAGTTAATAATTCACGGCCCCTTCGGGTGATTCTTTTTTTTGTTTGTTTGAGAAAATATGTCTGGAAACATCTGTTTTTGTTTCAATGGAATACAGGCTCATCAACTGTTTATTTTACGAGCCGCACGATTAAATTTTCCCCAACTCAATGAGTTTCAGGCTGATGGTAAAGTCACAGAGAGCTGTGTTATTCTAGAAAAGCTGTGCGGAAATTTCACTTTACCGCCGCCCCCCCCCTCCGTGAAAAGTCGGAAAAACATCGGCGAAGAGAATCACCCCGTGAGTAAAATACAAAAAACAAATGACTTGAACCAAATGTGGTTTATGTTAGGCTACCCGCTTCTCCGTTAATTAATTTTACTCAGAGAATGTAATTTTATAATTCCGATCTGTGAAAACGAACTGCGGCCCGCAAACTCGCAGTGTGCGAGCCACTGGGACACCCCACCGCTGCCGTGCCAGGACATTTAATTCACCTTAAACGTTATAAAACAGTTTGAGAATTGTCCCTACCTCTCAGCATTAGCTGCAACGCACACTTTAATTATTCTTGCGTGCACAGCTTCAGTTAAGGGTTTGGCTCTTTAGAGTAATTTTTTCCCCTCCAATTTTGATACTTAGTTAAAATGCGACATCGCTGTAAACCCAGCGAACATGGAAAACGTTTGGCCAATGCTTGCTTACCCAGGAAGGCCTCACCGAGTCTCATTGAGCCTCAAGACTCTCTTTCAAGACTCTCCTTTGCCCCAGCACCTCCGATTAGCACGCTTGGCTACGCTCGTGCAGGAGGGTCATGCCCAGATTTTGCAGTGGCAGGGCTATGATGTTGTCGCTGTTGCTGCTGTGTGATCCCAATTGAGTAATTTGCAGGTCATTTTTCAGCATTGGGATGTTTGGAGTGTGGGGGGGGGAGGGGGATTGCAAGCCCCTGACACCAACATTGACTAACCAAGAGAAGACGCAAATGTTTGGCCGCTCTTGTTGACTCGAGTGAGAGAATAACTCCAGGCTAAACCTCCATAGCTCGGCGCCATCGGCCAGCCGACGTCTGTAAAACCAAAATAAAACACGCCGGCGACATCCGTGACCTTTACCTTCGCCATCTGAGCCTGAATCCCGGTTGCCTTGAGAGCAGTCACCGCCTTCTGAGCGGCGGTCGGGCTGTCAAAATCCACGAAGCCGTAGCCTGCGGGGGTCAGAAGAGAGGCGAGGGGGAGGGGGGGTGGTCAACGATCACGGCGTGGCCAACGGACGACATCGTCTTTTCGTCGCCCATCGCGCAAAATCGTTGATGCTCTGTCGGTGGCGTTGGCGTCGGCGTGGTTGCCGCTGTGTACCTTTGCATTGGTTGGTGGTCTTGTCCAGGATGGCCTTCGTGGACACGATCTTTCCGTACCTGCAACGAGGAGACGACAGGGCACTCGTTGTGTGCTTTGGCCCGGCGGTTACGACGCGCACCGTTAACGCAGACTTATCGTTTGAACGTTCCCGGCGAGGTGGCCGCTGGAGTTTATTGTCGCGGACGCGTGACAGCTGCCGCGGTGAAGCGCGACGGGCCTGAACGTTTGGCGGGCGTCAAATTTACCGCGTACGTTGCAGCGGCGAGGTACACGGCACGATCCCGTAACGGTCCCGAAGCGAATCCCGTGACGGTCCCGAAGCGAATCCCGTAACGATCCCATAGCGATTCAGAATGCTGCGGTGAGGTTGAGGAGGCTTTGAATCCATGTTGCGCAGTTTTAACGATCGCCTGAGTTACACGGGAGCGCCGTCCGTCATGGATATCGGCCACGAGCTTAACCTAGCGAGGCGTGGGAGTCCACATGGTAACCCTCAGAGCCTCGACAGTAAACATTGCAAATGTTATTGTTGTAATAATTACCACCGTTATACGATCACTCGCGAGTGTCGACCTCGAATAGTGGGTGTGGGTGCCGTGACGTGAAGTTAGCGAGACTTAGCGGAGGAGGATGATGAAGATGACGATGATGTAAGGAATGTGGATTCAGCTTACCCAGCCCACTCAGGCCCTTTGAAATCTCCACGTCTAAGAGGAAATAACCCCAGAGAACGCGGGTGTGGCGAAAGCGCTTCCACAATTGCGATATATCGAACTCGGGTTGCCACCTGTCCTGAATTTCCCAGGACCGTCCTCTGGTTGAAAGGGCAGCGGCAATCCTGGGAAATCTCAAAGACTACTCCAGAAGTTAATAGTCCAGTTTTTTTGTGTTGTCATTTGCATAGTAATAGTAACGATAAACACACACACACACCACTCGAAGCAATGCGTGTACATGCAGCTCTCCCCCTTACTATGAAGACTACCGGCGTCTGCCCATGATATGGCCTGGGTCTTTTTGTACGTCAGAGGTGGCAACTTAACGGTCAAACACGCGGGCGCCAGGAATCCATCGGAAATCTGCTGCCACTCCCGTCCTGGTGAGCTACCGTGCTGGTGAGCTCCCGTGCTGGTGAGCTCCCGTGCTGGTGAACTCCCGTGCTGGTGAGCTTCCGTGCTGGTGAACTCCCGTGCTGGTGAGCTCCCGTGTTGGTGAAAAAAACTCAAGGCGTTCATCAATAGCACTGCCCTAAAGAGCAAGGCTTTACGTAAGAAACGATGTTTCGATCAATGGCCCTTCCGCATAAAGGAGCGATCCAATTTGGTTGATTTGCTTTTTGATCCTGAAAGCCACAACACGTTCAGCAATTGACGCAGGCAATGGTCATTCTTCATTGCACGGACGTGACTTTTACGCTGTTCGTCTGTCCATTTAGTAAATGGGGTTGGTGGAGGGTACCAACTCTCGTGAAGATGATCCAATATAAACAGGACTTTGGTATGAAGCGCCATTGGAGAGAAAAAAGCTAAGTAAAATGGGACTATTTGCAAATTTTCAAATGCATGTTGCCCTGACAACTCGGTATCAGATTCCGCACAGCTGATTATTAAATCCTTCCGGGGGCAAACGGCATTTCAGCAAGCGTTACATAACCAACGCGCGCTATTTTTATTAACTTGTTTTAATCCTTGCGGTTCGCGATAACGTTGGTTGACGGCGTCACTGGAAAAACAACGGTGTTGAGAAACAAGGGCAAGCCACCTCAGAGCCATACCCTAGTCCTAGACCTGGGCTTTTGAGAGCGTTTGGTGCGAAGTGTGGAGTGTGACGAGGGGAACGATGGGGGTGAGGGGGAGTGCGACCTGCTCTTCGGAAGAGAACTTAAGAAGATGAATAATGAGTAATTATGTGTAGTGGACTTTGCTCTGACGGCTAATGTTCATTATTAATAAAAACGTAAGGGGAGATTTTTATTGAACGACTCAAGATTTTGAACGAGGACCAGTCGCGAAGCGAAGCGCACGGTCGCACGCCATTTCAACACGACGACGATCGTCACAACCAATTATCGTCTCCGCGGATCGGCAGGGCGCTCTTCGCCACCACCGGCGAGTGATGGCTCGCCGTCGCCCGACCTCCGTGCCATTTACCCGCGACCTCCGCGCGAGAGCCGCGTCTCCCTCTCTCCCTCTCGAAGAAAACAGACACGGCCTTTTGTGCATGCCGGTAATTGTGTCGTGACTTTCTGCCCCTTCCAGGAATGTTGCGATCTAACCGCGCGCTGGTACACATTCAATATTTGTTTTTTGACTCGGGCGACCTTGAACATGCACGGCGCGCGTGCAACGCTCGCGGGTTCCGGCGGATTCTCCGGGGGAGGCAACGCGGCCCGCAATCTCACGCCCGCGATACCCGGCTCTTTAGATTCGTCCGAGAGGAGTCGAAGAAAGAGTGGAGAGAGAGAGAGTGGCGCCTGGCTGTCGGGAAGCGCACGAGGGTAGGTTTTGACGTTTGAATCAATGTACATCTTGCTTTGCTGGCCACTATATCTCTCATGTAACAATGCTACCGCCAATAACAAAGGAACGACCAGCAGTGAGGTGTATTGATACTACGGTCCTGCTGTGCAGGTGTTCGCGGCTGCGCTGTTCAACTCTTCCCTGTGTTTTCGGGTCGTACCGCTGCGTGCTGTTGGACGCGATGTCCGACATTTCACTCCACGTGCTGCTTCTCTTGACGCTTGTTGTGAAAATTTTTTTTTTTAAAGCCAATTTCCTCGCGAACATTTTTGCCGCTAATTTGATTAGCCGCCTAATTGACCACTCGCCTTCGTGGCTCTTGGCAGCGGGGTATATTTATATAAACTGTACACACATACGGAAAAATAAAACAGATGTCTCGCAGAAATGGGCTTACCATTCCCAGCATTAGTGCAATTATGCAGGGATGGGTGTCGCGAGGCGGACGGGCGGGCGTTGATCTGGCAGCGGTTACGGACGCGCCCTGCCACGGCGGGCATGAGTGACGAGAGGGTGGCACCTTGCCAGGCAAAGCGGGCACTGCCGTTGCCCAAGGTTTTTCGAGGAGTGGCTCTGGTTGTGCCGCGCGTACTGACTGGAATGCGATGCGCCTAACCGAGAGGGAAAGGAGTCGTCTTTCCACTGTTTTGGCATCAATGTCCAGCTCTCTGTTGTGTAAAATTCCCGCCATCGTTGTCGCTATTGTTGTTGTTGTTAGTGCGGTTCTTACAGCATCCTGATGCGTACGCATTGCAGCGAAGGTGCAGCCCTGCAATGTTATTGCTCACGCCACTGCCGGCGGAGGGGTCTCCACACTCAGACGCGAAGGGGAGCTCGGGTGAGCCCCTCGAGATGGTATTTCTGGCCTACTCGTCCACACTGGCCACGCCACTTGGAGGAAGGTGGAGTTTCCCACACTTTACCCCACCACACGAGACCTGCCGATCGACCGACTGTGGCGTGCGGCAGGGATTAACGGAACTCTCCCCGTTGTTTCAACCGCCCACGGCGGGAGGTGTAATCGAACCGGCGACCTCCGGATTGGAAGTTCAGCGCCCTGCGAGCCATCGCGCCACGGCAGTTTGCTCGCACCGCCGTGATGGGTTCGACAGATCTCTTTACGTTTTTTCAGTTTCCAGCCTGCAGGCGCTCTCCAGTCTGGACGGGGTTTCCCATCGTGCAAATCGCGCGCTCGAATTGGGCCGTGGGCCGAATTCCCCCTTGCCCGTGTCGGAAGAAGGAAACTCTGCGCCGATTTCTCACGATCGCGCCGGGGCAGACGTGCCGAGTTGAAGCGGCGCCAGACGTCCGTCGCCCCCTGAAAACCCCTCCGCCTCGGTCGCCGCGGAGGCATCGCTTTGCGTTGCCGCGCCTGGAAGAACGCGCAGTCTCGGCGCGCTCGGTCTTGGACGTGTCATACTTCACCGCCAGGAGCGTAGCCAAGGGAGTCGGGGTGGGTGGGAGGGGGCGGTGGGCGCCCGGACACGTGTTCCCCCCCCCCCACCACCGCCCCGTCTCCCCTCCTCCCCGCTACAGTGCCCTGCCCCCAGGGCCCCCCCTAGACGGCATGTTTTTGAATGCGTGAACGGCTCTGAACAACTCGGGCAGTGTTAGGCTCCCGAGTCAAAGCAAACTATTGCACTTCACATAAGATCCCTGTGGCAGGAGCGATTACACATCGTGGAGACGTACACATACACACACGTGCGCAAAAAAAATGAATATGACCCCAATACTCGCGTAGGACGTGCCTCCGCCATCGCTGAGCACAACGCCCGCCATCGATATTCCTTTCAATGTAAACCTGACGACGACGACGAATGAAAGTTTTAAATGGACCAACAATCAGCTTTTAGCAGCATGTCGCAGGGGCGAGCGGGAAAGTGTCGTTCTCTACGGTGTGTGGCCCAGAGGTCACTCGAAAGGGATCTCGGAGGTAGCTCTACGATATCCACTTCCGCAGGACCATTCTCCGACACACCAAGGGGGTTGCGTGGCTCTACAATCGTTCATCTTCCGTGACGGCACGGCGCCCGTGGTGCAAACTGGGATCGAATCGTGGACAAAAATATAGAAATATACCAACGTTTCAAATCAATTTGGAACGAGTGAAATCTCGACGAATTCATGTTCTTTGCCATAAGGTGTGTACATCCGTGTCTTTCACCCCGCGTGTGCGCGTGCACCCGTAAACGAATCTATTTAAAACTATTTTATATTTTTAGTAGGTAAGGCCCACTGAGCAATGTAGGTATTTTTCACAAGCGACCTGGCCACAAATGATAGCTCCACGAAGTGGCTTATCACGTGCAAATATATAGCAGAAGCCAAATACTCTGAACGCGTGATGTTGATTCTAAATGTGGAGGGAAAAACCGGAGGAACCGGAGAAAAATCCACGCGACCACGGGGAGAGAGACACCGCAAACTCCAAATATACAGCAGGCGTCAGGGTCGGGATCGAACCCACGATCTCCTGTGTACCCCGGCGAGATGTTGAACATCTTGCCACCGCGTGCACCCGTGCTTGACCCCGTGTGGGCAACGAGGGTCGGCCGAACTTACGGGTGGCACAGCTTGACCAGGTCCTGGTCCGAGGTGTGTGGGGGCAGTCCCCGGATGTACAGGTTGGTCTTGCTCAGGAGGTCATTGCCCGCCGGACTGCAGGAGCTGCTGGGGGTCCCGGGGCTGGGGACCAGCGGCGCCGACGCGGCGTGACTGTAGGGCTGTCAAGGAAACAATGCGGTGCCGTTGAATACAATGCATTGCAATGTAATGCAATGTCATGCAATGTAATAAAAATTAATGCAATGTAATGCAATACAATTCAAACCAATGCATCGCAATGTCATGCAGTTAAAAACAATGCAATGACATACAATGTATGAAGCTCTAAAACTTTCTCGTTCCAGAACGGCTGACCTGGTGTCCCAAAGAATATTAAAAAATCAGAGTTGTGTACCAGTGTAGGTGTGTGTATTAGTGCGCATGTGTATGCGACTGTTGAGCGTGCAAGTGTGCGTGTGGATCTGACAGCCTGCACACATTTGTGTGTGCATTTAAGTATACTTAGAACTGCTACCAGTGGTGTCACGATCGGCCCCTATGCAGGAAGCTCGTGAAGGACGCTACTGGGAAGTTGGAGGCAGTCGCCCTCCCACAACAATGGAGGGTAGAGGAGGCGACGCTCACAACAACGAGCGGAGCGTTGGGCGGCAACGACGCAGCAAGTTGGCAAAGTGGGGAGCAATTGGTGGAGTTGCCAGTCATCTCAGTCAACCAATGGCACCTGGATCTGTCCCGTGGCCTCCTGCCTGCAGCGAGCCTTCGACACTTGACGTGGCCTGAAAGTGCACCTAGCCTGGCACAAGCGCCACTTCATGTGCATCTGACAGCCTGTGCAATTGTGTATGTGTGCATCTGACAGCCTGTGCACGTTTGTGCACGTTTGCGCACAGGCACGTGTGCAATTGTGCGTAATAGTACACGTGCGTAGTGTCGGTGCGTGCATGTGTCAGTGTGTGTGCGTGTGATCGTGTGACAAACTATTGTGGGGAGCGGTAGTGTAGCGGTTAGCGCTACGCTGCGCTATGAACCCTGGCGACCCGGGTTCGATTCCCGCTCACGGCCAACACCAGTGACGATTATCTGAACCAGTCCTGGGCCTCTCCTATGTCGACTTAGCCTCAAATGAGTACCTAGTGCGGTGTGTAAACATCGTCACTGGGGAGACAAAGGCGGTCGGGCGCGGTGCTGGCCACCCACCCCCTCGTGTACCGTTATGGCTCTCATAGGTGCTCGGTAACAGCACTTGCCTCTACAGTCTGTTAAGGCTATATGGGGGTTCTTTGTCTTTTGTGTGCCAAAACTCTACATGCGTGTGCTTGCGCCTGTACACACACGCGCGCGCGAGGCTTGATGGATGGGTGATCTCCAAGAAAAGGTTTTGGTTTAAATTAGGTGAATGTTTTTTTCCCCTCTGCTCCTGGAATTGGTGGTGATTAGGATCACGTGACCTGCCACGCGTTCAGAGTGCGGCGTTTGCGGTTCCACACGTGTCTGTCTGGGGGTGATTTTTTTTTTAAACCCATATATTTCTTCGCTAAATAACCTATTACTTTTTTGCGCTGTTACCGTGTATTGAGATTTTTGCTCGCTGTAAATCCGAGAACGCACCGCGCAAACAGTTGGCGACCTCTGTCGATTAATGCTCGCCGTTTTTTACACCCCTCCTGCAAGCGCCTGCGCCTCTGTGCCAAAGAATGCTTTATCGATCCGTCTGAGAAATGCCGCTCGCTTGTTGGAACAGCCCCGCGTTATGAAATTATATTTGACGAGAAACGCAACATAGTTCGGAGGAATAAAAAAAAAACAAAGGTAAAGGCGCAGCCCTGCAATCGCTTGCTCACGCCACTGCTGCCAGACGGGGGTCCCCGGAGCAGTCGAGAGGATATGTTTGACCGACAATCCGACGCTGGCCCAGACATCCCTGAACGAGGTGGGAGAAACCCTCGCACGTGCACCGCTTACCGCGGTTTGCGACCCGTTCTACACCGCTGGGTGGACTCGAGGCAATGGAGGAGGATGGAGTCGAAGCGACGACCTCTGCGCGATTGCAAATCGAGCGCGCTGACCACTCACTGCAGCCCCTGCTGCAGCCCCTGCTGCTGCTACTGCTGCTGCTGCTCTTTGGAGGCTGCGTACATTCCAGTCCTGCCTGCTTCCCATGGCACACTGAGTAATGCCGCCCTCCTTCCTTCCTGCACACCCACCCCGCTCGCTCGCGCGCGCACGTACGCACGCGTGCACACACACGCGCGTGCATTCCTGTGTGTGTGTGCGCGCGCGTGTGTGTGTTGCCGAGCGCTACGAGGCTGTTGGGCTTGCGGGTGGGGGGACGTGGACCTCGCTATCGCGTTGACCATCGCTCGCCCCCTTCGGTTCCCCCCCCCCGCTTCGTCGTGCCGCCCCTTACAACGATCGCCCTTCTTCCCCTCCTTACAACGATCGTCCTTCTTCCCCTCCTCGACGGCACTTTGGCACCCCAGACTCCTGGGTGAGCTCTGGCGTCACGGCCCAAGCGAACGGGGCCCTCAGCGGGTCCCGCTGCCGCTGTTGTTAAAAAAGACACGTCTCTGGTGTCTCTGTACGTGTATGAGGAACTTCTTTCGCACCGGACGTAGCCAACCGCGCTATTCCTGGGTACTGTACTAACCGCCCTGCCGCTGCCATCCGACATCCGAGGCTGCGCGCGAAGGAATTTGAGAACTGACATTTTCTATTGTTTATAATGTTCAAGATGCAAAATGCCGAAAGGAAAACGACGGCCCGGATGGCTGTCGTGTATTTTGGAACACTCAAACTAACCAAACAACTGTTTACCGAAGTGCTGTACACTGGAGCGGTGGAACAGCGGTCAGCAAAGCTGCGTTTATCAGTGGCGAGCGATGAGATATCAGGACCGGTCCGACCGCCCCATCCCTTCACCGACTTGGGCTGACCACCGCGGTGAAATATGGTGGTTCGGGACACTGAATAAATAAAATAACAACTCCCACTGCGGACACGGCGCAGGGAAGACGTCATTCGTCGGTGGATTGAGAACGGCTGGACTCTGTTTATTTGATTACAGTAAGGCACGAATGTTTAATTCAAATTCCCATCTGGATTTTTTTTTAAAAGGGCAATTGCTGGCACGTTGGTGCAATTCAACATTAAGTCTAATTTGGCCGTGTACCGATTGTGTCATCATAGTCATACCATTTATTATTCTCATGCAACGTACTGTAACGGTTACAACTTACATCTTCAGATGCCAATATTTATACATACAGTGTGAATATTTGTTGTTCATGTTTATAAGTACGGGTGGGATGGGGTGGGATGGGGTGGGTGGCGCGCAAACGATTAGCAGCGAGGCACCCTGCACTCAACAGCAACAACAAAAACCCCAGCGACCTGAAATTCATTTCCGACCAGGGCTCACATCGGTACCGAGTGGCATTTTAAATCGCTCCTGGGCCTCCCCCCCCCCCCTTCTTCCCCAACCCGCACTGTCACGGGCGAAGTATGGGTTCAAACCAAACCCCCGCGTGACTGAGATGGCCTTCAATACAGCGGTGGACTGACACGCGACTGTAAATTACTATAATTATATTACTTGAGATTCGGTGACAAAGTTCCCTCGGCGCGTGGCCCGATCTCGTCGCATCTCGCAAGCGGCAGGGTGCCAGGCTCGACCAGAACGCTTCGGCGGGTCCGGCTAACGTTGCTTACACATCGACAATGCTCACTCAGAACGGCTCGCCGAGGCTGTCGACGAGAGCCTCGCTATTAGGGGCAAGTCCCCGGCTAAAACTGCCGACTTATTCTGTCCTCCTGAACCTATCCGTGACGGGCGACATCGCTCCTGCAGCACGATCTGCTGCTGCTGCTGCAGGAAGCCGCTCCGCTCTTTGCGAGGCTGCACTTTGAAACTGCCGCTTGCTCTTTCGATTTAAAGCTTTCGTGACTGCAGGGATTCATATTCTTGTTTTTTTCGCTAAAGTCACGTGGAAGGGAAAAAAAATAAAACAAAATAAAATAGTGGGTTTTATTTTATTTTATTATTTCCCTTCTACGTGACTTTACCGAAAGAACCAAGAATATGTGGCTTGCTCGTTTGCGACCGCTCGCTTTCAAGGGGGCTTGTTGCACCTGGGCGCTCGCCCCGGCCACCCAGAGACCCTCCTGCGTCGTCTCGCATTGACGCCCGTTTATGGAGAGACGGCAGTGCAACGCGGAATTATGGAGCGGCCAGCGGCGTTACAACTTGCGAACCGCGTTCTGTAAGCACCGGCGGCGTCACGTCAAATACGCGAATATAAATGTGTATTCTTAGATGCCGGATATATACGTGTGCGCGTTGAACTTATTTCGCACCGTACGTGGCCAACGGTGCTGTGATTATGGATAATCGGAGGTGCGAACGAATCAAACTGACAATCCCTCCAAATTCGCGTAAGGAGGAGTTTTAGTTCAAATAAAGAAAAAGCAAAAATTACAGCCAATTATCATTGGGGGGGGGGGGGGGGGCTCTTTGACCATACTTCACCACGCTCGTGATTGTACGATCAGCGAAGCGCCACGGGCGGGGCACTGTTTCAGACGCGACCCGCAGAGCTGGCAAGCGAAATCGGCTAAACTGCCGGATTCGTATCTCGGTGCGCTAACCACTCCGCCACCGCTCCCCACCCCAAACCAAACCCAACCCCCCACCACTGTGGCTCAACATCCATTACGGAAACACAAACCAGGCCGACGAGGAGAAAGGACGGTGGAAAGACAGTAGAGTACAGTGCAACAGCTGAGCGCCACGCAGCAGCGCTGGGCATCAGCCACGGCAGATGTTGACGCGCTGGGGTGGAGGGGTGGGGGGTTGCCACCTCTGAGCAGCAACAACAACAACAAACCAGGGCAACAGATCCCATGGGAAGAGGAAGGTGATCTCACAATACCGTGCCAGAAGAAGGGAGAACTATTCATGAATCCATGGTCTTGAGTGGTCCGTGTGAGTATTGCTGCTGCTATTACGCAAACCGTCAAAAAGCCGGGATTGTTAATGTCAACAGGAAGGCGGACAGATGTCCCAGGACAGTAGTGATACTGTACACCTCCCTCAAGGGAAAATCGGGACAGCTGGAGACCGGAGTCCTGACTTTAGATCACCATCACGTATTTGGTGATG